CCTGTTTGGCAATTGCATAGTATGTGAAACTTGTTCAAATTTCTCCCAAGGCCTTGGTACTTGGCTGTATAAATGTGGTCCTTATTTTTGTAAACACAAGGGTTTACAGTATTAAGGACCCTTTTTATAATGCTTTGAACCTCAGTGTTCCATAACTTGTAAAGTATATTCATAATCTTGTAAACACAAGGTCTATAAGTTCTATAACATTTTGGACGTTGCCGTATAAAACATTGTAAAAAATATCCTTAATATTGTAAACACAATAAGGACCAAATTTAATCTCCAAGGTTCACCATTACCTTAACATTGTAAGATAGATCATTTCTAATGTAAATTATAACATTACAGATTATGGATTATAAAGAACCTTAAAGTTGTAATCACAGTGCAAAAACGCATAAATGAGAACCCAAATCTTATCATCTACGATATTAAGGGTAAATTTTTACAAGTTTATGGAACGCCTATGTCCAAATCATTGTAATATAGGTCCTTAATATATTGTAAATCGTTGCGTTTACAAGAATAAGGACCAAGTTTACATCTCCAAGGTTCGTTTTTGACTTCATCTTGGAATGTAGATCCTTTCTATTGTAAATTATGATATTACAACTTTATGGATACACCTTATAAGTTTATGGAACGTGGACATCCAAAACATTGTCAAATGAGTCCTTACTATTGTAAATCCTTGTGTTTACACGAATAAGGACCATATTTACTTCTCCAAGGTCCATGCTTACTTGAATGTTGTAAAGAGGTTCCCTAAGCTTGTATGTTACAAGATTTGGGTAAGAATTTAGAAATTTTGGCACATGTATTACAACGTTTGGGTTCACACGATCCATAACGTTGTAAATCCCCTATTTACAAGGATATGGATCCACATTCCAAGGAATTGGTAAATATGGACCTTGGAGATGTAAAATTGGGTCCATATTCTAGTAAATATGAGGGTTTACAAGTTTTAGGACTTGTGTTAAAATGTTTTGGATACGAGGGTACCATAACGTTGTAAAGAGGCTCCCTAACCTTGTAGGTTACAAGATTTGGGTAACCATTTACAAGTTTTGGCACCTATATGACAATGTTTATGTTCATGCGATCCATAACTTTGTAAATCCCATATTTACAAGGACATGTGTCCACATTACAAGGAATTGGTAAATGTGGACCTTGGAGATGTAAAATGTAGTCCTTATTCTTGTAAACACAAGGGTTTAGAGTATTAAGAACGTCTTTTACAATGTTTTGGACCTCAATGTTCCCTAAACTTGTAAAGTGTATCCATAAACTTGTAATATCATAAATTACTATAGAAAGGATCTCTATTACAAAGTAAAGGTAAAGGTGAACGCTGGAGATGTAAAATTTGTCCTTATTCTTGTAAATACAATGGTTTACAACATTAAGGATTTGTATTACAATGCTTTGGATGCAAGAGTTCCGTAAACTTGTAAAGTGGATCCATAATCTCATAGATTACAATATTTGGGTTCTCATTTATTAGTTTTTGCAATCTGATTACAAGTTTAAGGTTCTTCATAATCCATAATCTTATAATACCCTAATTTATAATAGAAAGGATCCCCATTACAAGTTTATGGAATGTCGATTTCCAAAACATTGTAAAGGGGGTCCTTATTATTGTAAACCCTTGTGTTTACAAGAATAAGGACCACATTTACTTCTCCATGGTCCACCCTTACCTTAATATTATAAGAGAGATCCTTTCTAATGTAAATTATAGTATTACAAGATTATGGATTATAAAGAACTTTAAAGTTGTAAGCATGGTGCAAAAACTTGTAAATAGGAATCCAAATATTGTAATCTACGAGATTAAAGATCCATTTTACAAGTTTATGGAACGCTTACGTCCAAACCATTGTAATACGAGTCCTTAATGTTGTAAACCGTTGCGTTTACAAGAATATGTACCAAGTTTACATTTTCAAGGTCCACCATTACCTTAACCTTGTAATAGAGATCCTTTTTATTGTAATTAATGATATTACAAGTTCATAGATACACTTTACAAGTTTATGGAATATGGAGGTCCAAAACATTGTAAAAGAGGTCCGTAATACTGTAAACCCTTGTGTTTACAAGAATAATGACCGCATTTACTTCTCCAAAGTCTACCCTTACCTTATCATTGTAAGAGGGATCCTTTCAATTGTAAATCAGGATATTACAACGCTATGGATAAGGAAGAACCTCAAACTTGTAATCATGTTGCAAAAAATCATAAATGAGAACCCAAATCTTGTAATGTACGAGATTAAGGATCTGCGTTACAAGTTTATGGAAAGCTTACGTCCAAAGCATTGTAATACGAGTCCTTAATGTTATAAACCATTGCATTTACAAGAATAAGTACCAATTTTACATCTCCAAGGTCCACAATTACCTTAACCATGTAATAGAGATCCTTTCTATTGTAATTTATGATATTACAAGTTTATGGATACACTTTACATGTTTATGGAACATGGAGGTCCAAAACATTGTAAAAGAGGTCCTTAATACTGTAAACCCTTGTGTTTACAAGAATAAGGACCGCATTTACTTCTCTAAGGTCCACCCTTCCATTAACATTATAAGAGAGATGATTTCTAATGTAAATTATAGTATTACAAGATTATGGATTATAAAGAACCCCAAAGTTGTAATCATGGTGCAAAAACTTGTAAATATGAACCCAAATCTATTATGATTGTGCCACGTGTTCTTTTTTAATTTTTGGATTTTTAATTTATTTATTATGATTTTTATAAGTTAAATCATAGAAAAATAGTATTAAATAGTATATGGTGCCACATGGCAGAAGCTTAATGGGGCGTCGTCTGTGTTTCGGCCATGTGTCATTCTATGATTGCGCCACATGTCCTTTTAAAATTTTTTGTGCTTTTATCTTCTAGAATTCATAAAAAAAAGTAATTAAACATCATAAAAATACACCTAAAATTGCTATAAACTCCTCAAGACATTATCTTCGATTATGGAGGTCTAACAACATGATTACAAGTATTTGAGTTCATAAAAGTCATTGGATCAAAGAAATAAAAGTGCTAGTTCATAGAACACTAACAATTGTTTTGGTTTGTTTAGAAACAAAGATAAGTTTTTGTTTTTTTATTTTTTAAGGGTCAAAATTATATTTTTGTAGCATGAGAGCATAGAGAATGTCACATCACAAGGAGTTTGTAGGAATTTTCGATGTAATTTTTTTTGAATTTTTGAATTTATTTATAATGATTTTTAGAAGTTAAATCATAAAAAATAATATTAAATAGTATATGGCGACACATAGCAGCAGCTTAAGAGGGCGACATCAGTGTTTCTATTGAATGCCTTCTACGATTGTGCCACGTTTCTTTTTTTAATTGTTTGTGTTTTTATCTTAAGGAATTCATAAAAAATTAATTAAAATAAAAAATATATATACATAAACTTGCTACGAACTCCCCTCGACATTATCTTTGATTATGGAAGTCTAAAGTCACGATTCCACGTACTTGCATTTATGGTAATGATTGGATCAAAGAAACAAGAGTGTTAGTTCATAAAACACTAACTAGTGCTTTGGTTTGTTTAGAAACAAACATGAGTTTTGTTTGATTTTTTTTTGAAGTGTCAAAATTATATTTTTGGAGCATGAGAGAGTATAGAATGTCACAAGGAGTTGGAATTTTTGGTATTTTTTGCATTTATAATTTATTTATTATAATTTTTAGAAATTAAATCATAGGAAAAATTAAATTAAATGGTATATGGCAACATGTGGCAGCCGTATAATGGGGTGGCGTTAGTGTTTCTGCTGGGTTTCCTTCTATGATTGTACCACGTGTCCTTTTTTTAATTTTTATTTTATTTTTGTGTGTTTTTATCTTAAAGAATTCATTAAAAAAAAATAGAAAAATATAAATAAAATTGCTACAAACTTCCCACGACATTATCTTTGATTATGGAGTTCTAAAGTCATGATTCCAAGTATTTGAGTTAATGATTGGATCAAAGAAACAAGAGTGTTAGTTCATAGAACACTAACTAGTGTTTTGATTTGTTTAGAAACAAACATGAGTTTTTGTTTTTGTTTTTATTTTTTTGAAATGTCAAAATTATATTTTTGGAGCATGAGAGAGTATAGAATGTCACAAGGAGTTCGTAGTAATTTTTGGTGTATTTTTTAGATTTATAATTTATTTATTATAATTTATAGAAATTAAATCAAAGAAAAAATTAAATTAAATGGTATATGGCGACACATGACAACCGAAGAAAGAAGAAAATATATAGCATGGTATAAAAAGAAAAAGAAAAAGAAAATATAAAGCATGGTATAAAAAGAAAAAGAAAAAGAAAATATAATACAAACAAATATAAGTTTGTTAAAAGTGTTGTTGGCACTGATTCCCACATAATTAGAAAATTATTGTTGCATAATCATTAAACCTAGAGCCTCTTCGAAACTGATTCTTTTATAATCAAAAAATGGACTGGGCTTCCCAAAATTTTTAAAAAATCACTTATCACTCCAAATAAGCAATGCCAAACTGGCACTTAAAGCTTGTAGCAAAAAAAAAAAAAAATGTTTTAAAGCCCAAAAACAAAAGGAAAAAAAAAAAGAAGTGGAATTATCCAATGGGAAGGGACGGCTGGCTGGGGGAGCTGTGGGGTTTAATTGTTTTTTTAATGGATATATTTTATTTAGGCTCTTTTAAAAAACCTTTTTTAGTTTTGCTTTTCTCTCATGCTCCAAAAATTTGTCAATAGCCATTGATTACAATTGATCCAACGGGGAAAAAATGGGCGCAGTGATACACCAGGTCATTATTGGTAATGGCTGTTTTCAGCCTTCACTTTAGACTTTAGTTGGTCAGCAGACCAAAATGTTGACAATTATGCAATATTCAAGAAAGGGCTGCTCTCTCCAAGTCAACAACTGAAAGGCCTAATTGAAATTTAGAGAAACAAGTCTGAGCTTCAGAATCTGGAGCAGACCTCTGAGCTCTTATTCCCTATTTATCATTCTCTTTCTCTTATCTTTGCATCTCTTGGAGTAATTTGCAGCTAGTATTATAATCAAATTCCAACATCATCCACGAAAGAAAACTACTTTCGACAACGGCTTAGGGTACTTATTATTATTAAAAATCATGTTTAAATAATTCTTGCGTCAACCATACATTTGGCTCTGATCCTCATTTTTTAATGTTTTTTGTTGTGCATGCGTTGTTGTGTTTTTGAGTAACGCAGGTCATGGCCGAGAAGATTATTATGTTTTGCCGTTACTATGTTCTACTTATTGTTCTTCTTCCTTATCGAACCCTCCAATTCATCTACCACAAGCTTTCATTTCAAGTCTCAAGGGCCTCTAACCTAGATGCTGCTGAGGGCATCGAAAACCATGTTCCCATTGCGCCAAAGCTCTCTTCTTCCTTCATTACAGACTCCGAAATCCAATCTGAATTTGCTCACCATGCTCCTGGTGTTGCCAGGATGAACAATGGCAGCTTCGGTTGCTGCCCTGCCTCTGTCATCTCTGCCTTGCAACAATGGCAGCTCAAATTGCTCAGCCAACCGGACCATTTCTACTTTAATGAGCTTGAGAACAGGATACTTGAATCAAGATACAAAATCAAAGACCTTATCAACGCAGAAGATGTGGATGAAGTCTCCATTGTAGACAACATCTCCACTGCTGTCGCCATAGTCCTGCAGCAAGCAACATGGGCCTTTGCTGAAGGGAAATTTAACAAAGGGGATGCTGTCATTATGTTTCACTGCGCTTATGGCGCGGTGAAGAACTCAATCAAGGCCTACTTTTCACGTGCTGGTGGATATGTTATCGAAGTTCAATTTAATTTTCCATTGAATTCCAATGAAGAAATTATAAGTGAATTTAGCAAAGCATTGGAGAGAGAAAAGGGTAATGGTAGGAGAGTGAGATTGGCTGTGATTGATCATGTCACATGCATGCCAAGTGTTATAATGCCAGTTAAGCAATTGGTTAAAATCTGTAGGGAAGAAGGTGTTGAACAAGTTTTCATAGATGCAGCTCATGGTGTTGGGTGCGTAGATGTTGATATGCAAGAAATTGGGGCAGATTTTTATGCTAGTACTTTGTATAAGTGGTTCTTCTGCCCACCTGCAGCTGCATTTCTGTATTGTAGGAAGTCAGCTACATATTCAGATTTGCAATTGCATCACCCTGTTGTATCTCATAGGTATGGTATGGGGTTGGCTGAAGAAAGTTTTTGGGTTGGGACAAGGGATTATACTCCATATCTGGTGCTTCCTTCAGCTATGGAGTTCGTTAAGAGGTTCGAAGGCGGTGTTGAGGGAATCAGAAAAATGAATCATGATGCTGTTGTTGAGATGGGGAAGATGTTGGCAGAAGCTTGGGGAACCAATCTAGGCTGCCCTCCTGATATGTGTGCTAGCATGATCATGGTTGGTTTACCATCTTGTTTGGGGATTTCAAGTGATGATGATGCTATGAAGTTATGGGCACATTTACGCAAGAAATTTGGTGTTGAAGTCAGGATACATTATCAAGCTCCCAAAGATGGAGAGGTTGTGTTGACAACAGGGTACGTTCGAATTTGTCATCAGATTTACAACAAAGTTGATGACTATTACAAGCTCAGAGATGCAATTAATCAACTTGTTCATGACGGGTTCACTTGCGCTCTTGAGGTATACATATTGCCTTCATCCACTTTATTGGTTTGTAAGCTAGAGCCTAGACATACTACACAACACACTGCAATTTCCTGAATTTGGTTTGCTTACTTGTTATTGACCTGGGGTTTTATGTTAATCTGCAGTTCAATGAGGCCTGAAGAAATCCGTTCGATAAAAAAGAGCTATATATATAGTTCTCTGTCTCCTGCATGCTTGCTAGTTGAAACGCAAACAATCTATGCAGAAAAGTTTATGAACTTGTTTTTGTTTTTGGTTTTTTGGGTTTGATATGCAGAAATGTTGGTGTATGAATACATAAGCAATTGTCAGTCAGCTTCAAGTAATGTAATTTCCAGAGATGTTTTCGACAACCACTTACTAATGGACTCCATTCGAACACAACATTGACTTAAGAATATTATAGTAGTACGGCCATGATATCTTCAAATTCTTAAGTAGCATGTGACATAAATGTGTCCTTTAAAAACTTGAATGTGTCAACTTTGATCCAATAGCTTAGATTGGGGTTCAACTTCAATGTCTATTAGCTTTGTGGTTTATGAACCGAAAATGGGTTTCAACTTAAAATGTCAACTCCCAAAGTACCCTTTTCTTTCTTCCAAGGGTTTGAAGATTATAACTTGTTATGTGCATTATGTGTCACCTATGAAATTAACATCTCACTTATTTTTCTTGGTTTCTATTTATGATATAGCTTCACAAAGCTAATCATACAAAACTAAAACCTCCCCAAAAAAAAAGTTTCATCCTTCTATGAACAAAGAAAAAAAAGTTTCATCCTCTGCTTAATTAATTCACAAGGTAGGTCTTGTAAGCAAACAAAGTTGACATGGTTTTCACAATAAATTTAGTATGAAATGTAGTGGTTTTATTTTATTTCACTAAGAGTAAGAAAAATCTTAAATTTTTATTTTTTTTCTATTTTTTTGAAAAGAAAAAGAGGAAGAAAAAACTGGGTTGTGAAGTAAGAAGACGTATGAACTGGTGGGAAACCAAATAGAATACATATATACACACATATCCCCTGCCCAGTGCCATTGACATTCCACATGTAACGTATTCATATATCCAAAATACGTAGAAACAGTAAGCCAAACAAACCATATTAACCACCATTCTCTCTCTCTCTCTCTCTCTCTCTCTCTCTCTCTCTCCCTCTTTGGGTATGATTTTGTGGGTTCACACGCATACTTAAGCGTTCCCCAAATTCGTAGCTGCGAGCCCAATTCCAATATCGCAATTTCAAAATCGAATTGGGCATTGGGGTTTGAGACCTCAGTCTCAATTCTAAAAGGTGATCATCTCAATTTCCGATCTTTTTTTTCTTTCACATATTGATCTATCGTTATTACAGAATTTAGGGTTTTCAGAATACCTTCTGCAGGATTAAATTTTTCACTTAAAAAGTCTAAATTTTTGGTATTCATAGAGTATCGGCTCTTTCTTTTAGGGTATAACTTGATATTCCAATTTGTTTCGATCGAAGTTTAGGTACCCATTTGCTTATGCTTTCGTTTATTGTTAAATTCCTTTTAGGGCCTTTGAAAGTTGCTGCCTTTCTCAGTTTGCATCTGCAACAAAGTTTAATCCTTTGTCTGGTTAGGTCCTTCCCAGCTGCCAAAGACTTAGATTTGGAGCAATTTTGTATGACTGTTTTACTTTTTTTTATAGAAATAAATATGAAATAATGAGTTTTAAAGACTGGAAATTTTAATTTTGTTTACATTTTGTGCATTTGTTAGTAACCAGAAACACCCCTATCTTAATTAGAAGTTAAAGTCTGATCGCTTAAGTTTAGTATGCATTATGTATTGAGTTTAAGCTCAATTAAATTTCTTAGCAATGAAATCTGAAGTTAAACTAGTACTTTTCCCCTTATTGCTGTAATATGAAGTGACATGATGTCTGGTGAGAGAGGCACTCCTGTTTATGACACTGTGCACAGTTAACAGACAATGTACTGTAGATAATATCTATTGCCTGATTCTGTTATGATGATTTGATACGAATTTGTTTGTTGTGTTTGACTGAGACAGATCATGGAGGGAAAGAAAATCATAGCAATTTGTCAGTCAGGGGGGGAATTCTTGACTGAGAAAGATGGTACATTGTCATATAGGGGCAGTGACGCTCATGCAATTGACATTGATGACCAGATGACATTTAACGAGTTTAAAACAGAGGTGACTGAAATGTTTAGTTGCAGCAATGACAATATGTCCATCAAATACTTCCTCCCTGGCAACAAGAAGACCCTGATTACTGTTTCCAATGACAAGGATCTCAAGCGCATGATCAAATTCCACAGTGATTTTGCAACCGTTGATATTTATGTCATAGAAGAAATAGTTGCTCCTGACGTCTCCAACATGCCTGCCAGTAGGTAGTTCTCTTGATATGCATGCTAGTATTTTAACTACTGTTTTGGAAATTTTCTTTTTAGTGTTTTAGAATTTCATGGATTTTTTTAGGTCGAGCAGAACAACTCTATCAGAAACTGTGGTTCCAGTTGATGCATCTCTCGATGTTGTGGACTTTGTGGGCGACACCACCCAGCCTGATATCCCACTTGATGCCTCTCTTGATATTGTAGATGATGCCAGCCCTATTGATGCACATATTGATATACCCAATGAAATATCACCCATTTTCCCTCTTCTTGGCCCCAACGATGAGAAGCATGCTAAAGGTGCACAGCAATGGCAGAATGCTATTACGGGTGTGGGCCAAAGATTCAGCAGTGTTCATGAATTTCGTGAATCGTTGCGTAAATATGCCATTGCACATCAGTTTGCCTTTAGGTATAAGAAGAATGATAGTCATCGCGTGACTGTCAAGTGCAAGGCTGAAGGCTGCCCTTGGAGAATTCATGCATCAAGGCTATCAACCACTCAGTTAATATGTATCAAGAAGATGAATCCAACACATACATGCGAAGGGGCTGTTGCAACTACGGGGCATCAGGCAACAAGGAGTTGGGTGGCTAGTATAATTAAGGAGAAGTTAAAATTCTTACCCAATTATAAGCCCAAGGATATTGTGAACGACATCAAGCAGGAATATGGAATACAGCTAAACTACTTTCAGGCCTGGCGTGGGAAAGAAATAGCGAAGGAGCAGCTTCAAGGTTCATACAAAGAGGCATATAACCAGTTACCGTTCTTCTGTGACAAGATAATGGAGACAAACCCGGGTAGTCTTGCTACTTTTACGACTAAGGAAGACTCCAGTTTCCATCGCCTATTTGTCTCATTCCATGCCTCATTGTACGGTTTCCAGCAAGGTTGCAGGCCTCTCCTTTTCCTTGATAGCATACCCTTGAAATCAAAATATCAAGGCACATTGTTGGCGGCAACAGCTGCAGATGGGAATGATGGGGTTTTCCCTGTTGCTTTCACTGTGGTTGATGCAGAAACTGATGATAACTGGCATTGGTTTTTACTACAACTAAAATCTGCATTCTCAATAACTTGCCCTATAACATTTGTGGCAGACAGGCAGAAGGGATTAAAAGAATCAATTGTTGATATATTCAAAGACTCATACCATGGCTATTGCCTGCGATACTTAACCGAGCAACTTATCAGAGACTTGAAAGGGCAGTTTTCTCATGAGGTGAAGCGACTCATGGTTGAGGATCTTTATGCTGCTGCTTATGCACCTAGGCCTGAAAACTTCCAAAGTTGTCTTGAAAGCATTAAAAGTATCTCACTGGAGGCTTACAATTGGATTGTACAAAGTGAGCCCCAGAACTGGGCAAATTCATTCTTTCAAGGTGCTAGATATAACCATATGACATCCAACTTTGGAGAGCTGTTCTATAGTTGGGCATCAGATGCACATGAGTTACCAATAACACAGATGGTTGATGTGATCAGGGGTAAGATTATGGAATTGATCTACACAAGAAGGGCAGAATCTAATCAATGGTTGACAAGGCTGACTCCATCCATGGAGGAAAAGCTAGATAAGGAAACCCAGAAGGTCCGAAACCTCCAAGTGCTACTTTTGGTTGGTAACACTTTTGAGGTTCGTGGTGACTCCACTGAAGTTGTTGATGTTGATCGCTGGGACTGTAGTTGTAGAGGGTGGCAGATAACTGGTTTACCATGCTGCCATGCAATTGCTGTCATTGGTTGTATGGGCCGGAGCCCGTATGATTATTGTTCAAGATACTTTACCACCGAGAGCTACAGACTGACATACTCAGAGTCAATACATCCTGTTCCGAATGTAGACATGCCTGTGGTGAAGGCTTCTTCTCAGCTAGCAGTGACAGTAACCCCTCCTCCCACCCGCCGGCCACCTGGCCGGCCTACTACAAAGAAATATGGACCACAAGAGATGTCTAAGCGTCAACTCCAGTGCAGCAGATGCAAGGGTCTTGGGCACAACAAGTCCACTTGCAAAGAGTTATTGTAGAGTATTAGACGTTGTAAGTATCAACCTTTTTTGTGAATAATGTTCAATGTTTTACCCAGTTTACATCTCAATTTTGATAGTTGTCAAAAGAAACATGTTGTTCCGATGCGTCCATGTTTTTACTGGTTTATTGATGAGTATACGTGGTGGCTGCACATTAGTATTCAAGTGCATTGTAGGTATGGCTTCTTTGTATAGTCTTGCATTTGTTTGAATTTGCGCTAGCACCAGCTTTTGTTTTGATGTCTCAAATAGAGTTCCCTGGCTGCTAATGAGGCTTTAAGGATTACATTTCTTTTTTTGGTTCAATGTATTTTTGGCTGACATGTATTTTAGCTTAAATATACCTTAATAATTAAATTTGCTCTTTTTTTTCCCCTAATAGGTTTGCATCAGAAGACAAAGGCAAGGGCATCACAATCTGTACTAGACTAGTGGAACCTCAGAGACAGAATGGGACCTGTTTCTTAGTTTAAAATAACCAAGCCATGGAACCTGACGTATGTAGTTGTAATTATCATTCCCTTTTGGTAGTTGTATTGCTAACTTGGATATTTGCTAGTTTGACTTAGTGTAACGAGTGTGATGACTATAACATTGTTAGTAGGAGGAGCATGTTCTTAGAGTTACTTGAAGGTCCATGGAAGTTGGAATGGCATGAATAGATGCCAAAATGTCCTTTCTCTTGTAAATTATCCTTTTGGTCAGTTGACGAATGATAAAAGCAGCTGACTTGAACTTGTATTTATTGAATACAAGTTCTCCATGTGTAACATTTTGCTTCGCCCGTTTTTTTAATTCCGATATACAAGCGATACTGAGAAGGGGAAATCGATCACAAAACCACGGTGCACTGGTTCCCTTTGTAAAGTTGTAAATGTTATATTATGTGGGTTGAATGAGAAAGCTGGAGAGTGGTACCAAATTGTAGGCCAACATGTGATCTGTGGACTCTATTTATATGATGATTATGTGTCAACACGAACATTTGGATCGACCCCCAAGAAACCCCAAGGCCACTCTCCGGCAACCACGCCAGAAAGCAATGGCCACCACTCTTGGAAAAAAATGGCGACTTGGTGGGTCTGACCAGTCATACCAAGTGACTGATTAATGTTTATATAATATGAAAAATGAAAATAGGCCAATAGGAATTGAAAAAAGAAGAAAAAAAAGAATCAGTTTTGTTTTGGATTTCTTGGGATTAAGGTACACGAAAGAATCTGCGTGCAGCCTAGCTAGAACGCATATTGGGTGAACGTTCAAGCTCAAGTCATTGCCTCCCTCAATTATATAAAAGAATTGTTTGATGCTTGTGTAAGCTGTTAGCCCTCTTGACGTCTCTTGCAAAGTACTCATCGGCTATGTGCCATGCATAATGCATTTCTTGCAAGCTCAATGGGCTTCTTCAACGCTTGATCAAGAAGAACTGGTTTGGCTTTTCCAGGAGGCAATTGTTGAAGGCATTTTTGTTGGTATGAGATTACAGAATTCAGGCTGCTCTTAACATCAGCTGACTTTCTCCCGAACAAGTCCTCTGATCGAACGGCTAACACAGATTCAAGCTGGCCAATCCCCAAGTCTATCAGTCTAAAGCAACCAAGTTCTCCCTTTTGGTGATCACCACCTTTTGGCTTATTGTGTGCCACAATTTTCATTGCAGCAAGGGTTGCTTTGATAGCCGCTGTAAAATATTTTACCACATCAGCTTTGTTGCCAACCGGACTAAGAGTGTCTTGGCAAAGTCCCCTGTAAGCAGTTTTGCCACAAATGTTGTCAAGGCTCATGTGGATGCCTGTGTTGTTCATCGGGTGTTCTGTAGTCTTCTTGGGGCTATCTACATCCACCATGACAAGCACCACAACCGCAGCGATAACCACGAAGGAGACCCCGATCACTATCATGTTGCTAAGAATTTCATTCCTCTCTGATCTTCATCCATTAGGAATTAATGACATAATAAGGGATGACGGCACAAATTGCTTGTTCTTCTTTAGTTCTCTCCTTTAATATGTGTGCGTGTATTTGAGGCTCAACAGCGCCTGCAACAAGAAATAGAACTGATCTTAACTGCATTTAGTTTAGTAGTTTGTTTTTGGTAACACAATACTAGAAGTTCAAAGCCTTTTTCCTCTGACTGCTATTTTTAAGCAAACTCTGGTAAGACTCGTATTAATTAACATTGACTGAGTCATTTGAAGGCAACTAATTCAGGGAAAAAATACAATCAATCAACCAACATTAAAATTATTCTTTGGGAAAAATTACACAATGAAATAGAATAAAACGATATCCATCCAACCAACCAATAAATAACAAAGAAAATTACGCTAATTTTGAACCAACAAGAATTTTTATTTTTATTTTTAAAAAGGGAGGAAATTTCTGAAAAGTCTATCCGAAGAATGACACTTACAAATTTCCTCCTTACACTTATTTTTTATGTCTTTTATCAGTTCAAACTTATAGTACTAAAAGCAAAACAAGGAGGGTTCATGAACCACTTGCACAGGGAAAAGCTGCCCAGATTGAATCTTCGATCCCAACCTTCACCTCAGTTTGCCTATCATTTCATTCTTGACCCTTCTTGGACTACGAGTAAAGTACCACGCAACAAGTGAGGTCCGAACAAGTCTCATTAGGGATGCTTGGTTCTGACTTGGCAATCTTCTACATTTGAAGTGGCTTCAACTTCTTTTGATTACATAAAGCTTCCCCGAGCAGCTAGCTCAAATAGGACATAAATACTCTGCATTCTGTCTTCCGCATCCATTACTTTTTGAAGGATTTTTTGCTGAAACATGTATAAAGTTAATTCAGAGACAAACAAACAGTTTACAATAAAACTTCCACAGAGATTCCATCGACAAAGAATTACATTTGAAGCTGTAGGAACATATTGGTATAACAACGAACCTTTCTTGGTCTTGGTTGAGGGTTAGAATCTGTACAAGAGATCAATGCACATGGTACATGAAGGTGAAGAAAACTATTGAACAGGGTAGGCAACAATCATACCCCCGATCCATTGCACTAGGCACCATAGCTACAAACTAGCTCAGCTGTGACTGATTTTGGAGACAAAATCTTCAATAGTGAACATGTAACAAAAGCACACTTCACCAAGGTAGTTGAGCGATGAACAGGTCATGAATTGATTATTGGATTGGAAGTATCATGATTCATGTCACATCTAATCCCTCTGCAAGGATGTTGCTAACAGTATCTTGGACAGTACAATTATCACAGTCCAACACGTTCCAATCTACTTCTTCGCTAACAGCAGAACCAATAAGCAATCCATGAGTCTTAGCATCTGGGACCCAACCCTTTTCCAACATTATATCCAACAATCGACAGGCCTCACGTTTATAACCCTCTTTCCAGAGGCCGTTAATCAGTACATTATAAATTGCTGAATTCAGAGCTTTGCTACTAGAAGCAAGCTTATCAATTGAATCTGAAATCACGTGCAGCTGAGAAAGGTTGGCTATACAAGACAGTAGATTAAATAGTCTCTCTGAATCAGGTATAAGACCCTCGTTGACCATCATACGGAAAAGCAATATGCATTCTTTTACTCGATTCTGCAGACTCATGCTTTGTATGAGTATGCAATATGCATCCAGATCAAGATTGCAACCCTCCACCAACATTTTTGAGAGAACTACTAGCAGATCTTTTGCCTTGTCTAATTTTGACAATCCAAGCATAATAGCTGAGTAAGTTGAACTGGTAGAAGAAGTACCAGAATAATAGGCCAATTTTTGTAGCCTTGTTGCTTCATCAACCTTTCCTGTCTCACATACACCCTTGATCAACATATTGAACGAGGAAGACTGGATAGAGCACCTATTACTAGACATGTAACAGAACACTTCAGTGGCCTCATGAGTCATTTCCACTAGGCAAAGGCCTTTGACAAGCTCAGAGTAAGATGTAGGATCCAAAACCCAGCTTTTGGCACGGATGTGATGAAATAAATCCAGAGCATTTCTGTAGTTGCTTATTTTGCAGTTTCCAATAACTAGAGCTGAGTATGTGGCACAGTCAGGAAGAGAAGAAGACACCACCATTCTACCTAGAATTTCAAACGCTACCCTAATCCTGGAATTCTCGCAAAGCCATCTGATAAGGATATTCCACGAATTACAATCAGCTACATCACTTGCAGACATTTTCACAAGTAGGTCTTTTGCCATAAGAAATTTTCCAGCACTGCAGCAACCTTCAAGCAATACATTGCAGGCAGAAGTTTCTAAGATATGCTTATCTTCCAAGAACTTCATAGCATCATCTATCTTCCCTAATTTACAGAACACATTTACTACATCCGCAAACACATCATTAGCTGGTGTCAATCCAGTTTCCATCATATCTTCTAGAACCTTTATCGCATCATTTAAACAAAGGTTCTTGCATAAACACTGTAACAGAACCCCACAAATCAATGAATCCGGCATAAAATTGGAAGCTCTCATCATTTCGAACAGTCTGATTCCCTCCTCGGGTCTATTATTCTGACAAAACAAAGGTATTAGGGTGGAATAAAAACTCAAATCAGGCTGACAACCAAGTTCAAGCATTTCACTTAAAACAATAACAGCTTCATCCACTCTACCTTTTGCAATAAGCGCCTTTATGAGTATCTCAAAGGTCCTACTATTAGGGCTACACCCTTTCTTCTTCATTCTCCTATACTGACCCAAAGCAGACTCAATGTGGTCGGTCTCCAACAATGCCTCTAACAAATAATTCAAAGTTTCAATAGTTGGTAAGATCCCTGCCGTCACCATCTCCTTGTAGACAAACAAGACCTCTTGAAAATCTCTCTTATCCTTCACAAGAGCGCCCAATACAGCATTAAATGTTTCAATTGAGGGCCTATAGCCACCTGCCTTCATATTCACAAGTACCCTTATTGCCTCACTTTGCCTACAATGTTTAACAAACATATTAACCAATGCCAAAAGAGCCTCTTCAACACCTGGGCATTTATCTTTCACCATATTTTGACAAAACCCTTCCATTTCCTCAACCTTTCCAGCCAAACCCAGTTTCAAAATGATCCGATAATACGTATCTGCGGTGTGGTTAAACCGTCTTTGGAGGGAAGCCCATTTGAATACCTTCACTGCTGAGCTCAAATCATCAGTGTTATCTAAAACCCGGATTAAGTTATCAGGAACAAGCTTATTCCTCAAAGACTGGATATTTTGTTCAAAGTCGGATGAATTTGGTGGGTCTTGATTGTTTCCCGGGAAACATTCAACGGTTTTAGCACATGAAGCTGAAGAAATGCATGCACCTGAGCAGACCCAGAAAGGGATTCTCTTGGAAAATGTCAAAGGCTGAAGCTTTACCAGCATTGCAAGAGTTCATGAACAGTTTGTGCTATTTCCTCCGGTAAAACAAGAAGTTTATATGTAAAAGAGAATTAACGAAAGATTGATCACTGACCTGAGAAATGAAGTACAAAACTGAAGGCAGAGAATGACATGAAAAACTGACATCTTAGGATTTTAGAAAGAGAGAGCGAAGTAACCAGGTTGTGTCAACTCTGTGAACTTCTTGGTTCTGCCGTGAAGAAGGGCAGAGAGTTTTGTTTCTCTGAGAAGTGACTTGGGCCTCTTGGGCCTTCGGACTGATAATTGACTTGGGACTTTTGGGCCTTGGGACCTTGTCTAGGGCAGAGCTACTTGGGCTTGTCTTGATACTACTTTGGTGAGCTTGGTCAATTTTGGTCTACTTTTGTTTATCTTTTTTTTTTTTGGGTCTTCTTTATCGTATAATATGTTTCCAATTAAATTTGTGTTCTTGTAATTTTTAGTACTTCTCACATTAGTGTTCGACTGGCCTCTTAATCTTTGACCTTTTGTTTTAACTAATGTTTAGGGAAAAAAAATTATAATTTGTTATATTTGTTATGGTCTTTATTTAAGTTCATAAATTTGAGCTTTTTAATTTCGGATGAAGTTCTTTATGGAGAGTTTAATATTATTTTTATGGGCTAATATAGAAAATGAATTGTCATGGGTTTGTAGCTTACGTAGTTAAGAACACTTATTTATGCACTCCAAGTTCTAGATTTGATTCCCTCAACCCAATATCACTTATATATATATATATATAAAGTGAACTTGACATGGGGTCCTAATTAAATCTTTAAAAAGAAAATTGATCATTTAAATTTGTGTGGGAAAATATATTTTAAACTACTAGTCAACCGAAAAAATAAAATAAAAACAAAGACAAGTAGATAGAGCCCAAAAGCATGGCCCGTTTAATAAGCGAACCAGCCCGTCATTGTTTAAAACAGGAAGATCCAAAAATGGTCCAAATAGGGCCAACGTGTCAAGACCCCATTGGCGGTGTAGAAAATTTGGATTTGCCGCGCTGTGGGTCAAACTGAAAATAAAGGAGGACCAAGCGATAGCTTCGAGAATCGTCATATTTACGAACCCGAGGCTCGGAAGCTCCGAACCAAAGCAATCAGGCCTCCGTCTGGGCGTCGACATTTCGCTTAAACGCAGCAACTTCCACTGAATAAAGACAAAAAAATTATAATTTTGTAAAGAAAATCCCACTATCAATAACCCTAATTTCACGGGTTTATTGATGCTAAGTTGGTTTCCATTTTGAGCCCTTGGATGATGCCCGAAAGCTGATTCACCGCCGTCCGATTGTGTTACCTTCTCTGTTCTTGGGCTGAAACAGAGTATTAGTATTTGATTGAGGTCTATCTGTCTGTCTGTCATATGTTGGGAAGAAGACAAAGAGATTCCCAAGTGGGTTTTGCTCAGCAGCTCTTTGTTCGAACTGGGTGTGTCACTCAGCACCTGGTATCTCTCTCTCTCTCTCTCTCTCTCTCTCTCTCTCTCTCTCTCTCTCTCTACTGCGTGTTTCTGCTGGTTTAAAAAAAACGTTTCTTTGTGTTCTCATGTTGTTGATGCTGGTGACTGGTAAGAGTTGCAGTTTTCTTAGTGTCTTTGGATCTGTTTTTGGGATTTTTAGGAACTTACTTGCAGACCCATTTGCATGTAGAGGTCAGGAGGTTTTCAATTTTTAGTTTATTGAAAAAGATTGGAACTTTTTATGGTTTTGTTTATGCTTTCTTTTTTCCTGCGAAATTTGATATGTGGGTCAGTTGTAAACTCAAATGGACTTAAACTTTTTGAATGGTGAATTTTGTTTTACTTTATTTTTCTGGGTATGAGCTTCAAATTTGAGACTTTTCAGTTCAGATTTCTTTAAATTCAGTAGACCCAGTTGATGCCTCTCTCTCTTAACTCCATATTATTTATTGGCTGAGATTGACGCACCTTAGGCATGCTTCTCTCTCTACCACTTCCTTAATATTTCTCTCTCTTCATAATAGTTGGGTTGACGTTCTGAGGAGCTGTATTATTTGCATGATAAAATTTCAAAAATATGTGCAATTATCTTGGACTAGATTATCTCGAGAAAATGATGTTGGTAGAACTGTTCATTTTTCAAAACAAAATTGGCATGAATTTTCATTTTTTTTAAAAGTTGAATCCGTCAAACCATTTACAGTGTTTTTAAAGTTACAATTTATTTAAATAATCATTTTTTAAATTTCAATTTCTTGAAGGCCATGAAAATTTAATGCACAACGACCGCTTTCACATGCAGCTATGAAGTTAATAGCTTTCACTGTAAGGACCAACCTCTGATCTTTGGGCCCTTACGACTTTATTAACTGTATTCACGCCATACAGATCTTCACCATCAATCTCACTTGGCTAAAAAGATTTGGAATTTAAGATGTCAATTTCAGAGAAATCACTGCCCTGCTCGCCTTCTTCTTCCTCCTCGTCATTGTCATCGATGTCGGTCCAAGAGTTTGATCCATTGTTAAAAGATTTGAACGAGAAAAAGCAGAGCTTTCGGCGGAACGTGGTGTCTTTAGCATCGGAGTTGAAGGAGGCCCGGAACCGCTTAGCTTCTCAAGAGCAATCATTTGTAAAAGAAACACTTACAAGACAGGCAAGTAGTTGTTGATTTAATAACTTTAGGCTCTTTTTGTATTTTATATGACATGGTTTGAGTCTTGAAATCAATCATTTCTCTTTTTTTGGGTGTTTGTGTTTGTGGGGTCATTTTGGTTTGTTTATGCAATTCTAAGTGCTTTTTGGGGATTTTTACAGGAAGCACAGATGAAGGCTAAAAACTTGGAAGAGGAGATTGGTAGATTGCAGAAGAGATTGGAACATAGAAATGAGAAGCTTGAGGCTTCAGCATCTACCGCTGAAAAGGTCCCACTCACATCCCAGTTCTTGATTATGTATAATTTTTCATTAGCTTTTTTAATTTCTGGCTACCTGTTTAAAAAATTATCATTTTCTTTTAGGTAGATCCTCACACTTAAGACATGATTAACTAATTACGGTTGTTAGCTTTTCTTTCCTAAGTTGATGAGGTCTTTAATTAGTTGTTTTTATTCCATCTTGCTGTTTTGAAATTATCAAACAAGACGCACATCTCATACACATCATTGGGGATACCTTTTGGCTTTTCCTCTTTGTTTTTGTCGGAGCCCATAGGAGAAAAGGTGACCAGGTCTTATGATTTTATATAATTGTTTCCTTCTTTTTGGTTGCTTGAACAATTCAAGTAATTTTTGCTAGTATGCCAAGATATAGTGGTAAGTTAGGAAAGTGAGGGAGTGCACCCTCCTAACAGTTCAAACTTTTGGGAACTGTAGTAAACAACCAATGATGTTAATTCTTCCACATAAGTCTCAAGATTAAACTTTGTGCAACCTTTGTTACATACTTGACCTCGCATTAAGGAGTTGCCAAGTTTAGGGTTTCTTAACTGTTTTCCCAATAGAAGTTTTGAGTGATTATATGGAGTGATAAATTCCGAATGAGAAACAAATGGGATTAAAATTTGCTTCTCATAACCATCTACTTCCCCCTAAACCTTTATTTCTTTTTCCTTGTATGCATTAAGTCCTAATGGGTTCAGATTAAAAGAAGCTAAATTAGTGTTATTCCCCATATCAACACATTAAATAGTTTAGCCTGAATAAAATGATAGAATTGTCTTCAAAACTTGGGAGATCAAATAATTTCTTTTTCAAGTCTCTGCAAATGTACACGTAGGTAGGCACATAATAGTTGCATTTATAAACAGAAGATGCAACACATAACTGTTGTCCTGAAGGCAGAAAACCAAGTTCAACTTGGATTTCTATTTGTGACTAGACATAAAGAAGTGAAGAATACCATTGTGAGATATGTGGACTGTTAATAACTAAAGTAAATTGGAGTTTAAAGGGATGATGTGTATTAAACAAAATGAAGACAGGTGCATTTTGTTTTAAATTAAAATAACTGTATGCTGGAGCTTATTTTGCTTGTTACCATTTGTTAAAAAAGATTTGGGTAATTGTTGGAGTATTAAGAAAATTTATTATTTTACTTTTATGAGTTTTTAGCCAATAGACAAGTGTGATATGTTTGTATTTTGGAGCATATACAGTAGCTACTGTCTTTGAAGTATCTAATTAGTTATTAATTAGCAAGGTAACTGCTTGCAGAGCATAGTTTATGGTAGTTAGGGTTGTGAACTTTATTGGTGTACAATTTTCCCTGACTATGGTGTTGTTAATGCGACTGCAGTACCTCATGGAATTGGATGGTCTGAGATCACAGCTTGCAACCACTCAGGCAACTGCAGATGCTAGTGCTGCATCAGCTCAGTCGGCACACCTTCAGTGTTTAGCACTTTTGAAGGAATTAGATGAAAAGAATTGCTCCTTAAAAGAGCAAGATGATCGTGTAATTAGGCTAGGAGAGCAATTAGATAATCTGCAGAAGGACCTTCAGGCACGAGAGTTTTCCCAGAAGCAACTGAAAGATGAAGTTTTGAGAATTGAGCATGACATTATGCAAGCTGTTGCAAAAGCAGGGGTGAACAAGGACTGTGAGCTGAGGAAAATATTAGATGAGGTTTCTCCAAAGAATATTGAGAAGATTAATAAGCTTTTAGTTGCAAAGGATGAAGAAATAGCAAAGTTGAGAGATGAAATCAGGGTAATGTCTGCTCATTGGAAGCTCAAAACTAAGGAGTTTGAATCACAGGTACATTCATCATATGCTTTCTTTGTCCCCAGTTTGCTTGTATAAAGTCCTTGTTAATAAATTTTTTTATTAACTTCAACCTGTTTCTGGGAACAGTTGGAGAAACAACGGCGAGCAGATCAGGAACTGAAAAAGAGGGTATTGAAATTAGAGTTTTGTCTCCAGGAAGCTCGTTCTCAAACACGAAAGCTTCAAAGGGTAATCACTAACATTTTGTTTTACTCTGTTTGTGTTATTGAAGTTGCATTTTAGTTCAAACCTTGTGCCTGCAAATGGTCATAGCAGAGCTTTAAGCAATTACACGGGCCAGTGTTGGTGTTCATTTAGCAATAATTAGGTCCTTATCAATCAATTTTTCTCTGCAACTATATATTGAACTAGCATAAGAACATATTCATTGTGACAGATGGGTGAGCGAAGAGACAAAGCTTTGAAAGAGCTCAAAGATCAGTTACAGCAGGGTGGCGGTGGAGCTTCAGCTGCTGAAAGCCAAAATTTCTGGGAAAGCTCTGGTTTCAAAATCGTGGTGTCCATGTCCATGTTGATCTTGGTGGTGTTCTCAAAGCGATGAAATAGTCGCACTATTGAGCTGTTGATGTATAAAGAACATGAATCTGTAGTTTTTAGTCAAGGAATTAGGAATAGTGCATAGGCCACAGTAGAAATGCTCATTGTAGAGGTTCTTATTATGTAAACATTATCAGAGAATGCAATTTTGTTTTTCTTGTTAAATCCACATTAGTGTATGGAAATTGAATCCATGTATGGCATCTTGGCTACACTGTATTTGCCAACAATGTTGTATTGGATTTATTTTATCTTTGTTTTTTTGGTAGATAATTAGATGTCTATCCTTTTTTCTTTTCTTTTTATATAATTTTATAGGAGACTTTTCTTTTTGACATGTTAATTAATGTTTAACGTTTCTAGTTGGGAACCTTCAATTCGTGACATGCGTTCATGAATGAAAAAGGACAATGAAGTATTCAATTTGGCCACTCATCTCCAACCCAATAGTTAAGTAACCAAATCTTAGATGGTGTTGTCTTCTGAGTTCTAACTCTAAGCATCTCCTCCAGTCAAAATGTGAGAAGGAAAGGCCAGATTTTGTGTGGATTTTCAGTTTAATTAACCATAAACTAATTTATTGATAAAACCCAATTTGTAAAAAGATGGAAACTTGGGAAGGTAGCAAATGGAACTTAGGCTGACGATTACTATGTATGCATGGTATTTTAGTAATTTAGATTCGAAATTAGTATATGGGTTTAGCTTGAAATGCTAATCTATGACACTAAAAATATGCATAAAGTTTGATGATTATTACTTGTCATGATAATGACGGGCATGGATCGAACATCATGATGATCAGAAGAGCTTGATCCGGATACAATTAATGTGGAATTTAGCTCCATGTGTAATGATGTTATGATCAGGTAACTTAATATTGTAAATGGAATGTGAAAGTAAAATCAGTCCATTCATGGATATTATGTCTCGAAAATCATTACCATGCCAGTTGCCTTAGTGCAGATCAGACGAGTGAAATTGACTCCAATAAATAGCATAAATTTCTGTTCATGCAACTTTACTAAATTTCTAGATAGAAGAGCAATATGAACTCTAATTCTAATAGTATGAGCACAAACACAGACCTACAATACCCAACTAAAAGAGATACAGGATCACAAATCTCTATTGCACCTCTCAACCTCAGAGTAAAATTGTTGTTTCCTACCAGCTCAGGTTTAGATGTAGAGAAGCTTACCTTCACTTCACCCACAACCATCTCTACATCCCAAAGCTAATGCAAGACAGTAACTAACTATCATGTTTCCCCTAGCTTTCTTCGCTTGCATATGCGGTTATGTACAACCGTGATTCGTCGTGAGAAATTGTGCTTCTGAGGAATCTGATCACCCGTTAATTTACATGGAGAGGTCATATTTTTACATGGTAAGAACAATTTTTCTAGTAACTAAGGTTGTTACCAAAAAGACGCAACCAACAGACGGTCGCAAACTAGCTGAAGTGGATGTTGTTGTGTTAAAACCAGGAGGGCTGTCACTCCCAAACTCTGGCATGGATCCTGAAGCCGGGTTGCTCGAGTTCAACACCGAAGGTGGAGTACCGGAGCTGCAAGTAGAGATGAAGTTAGTGATAAACTGGTAAATGTAGTATAGAGATTGAAAGTCATGAGACAGAACACTATACCCTGATACACCTTCCCCAGGTGGTGGAATTGATGTTATTGCTGGTGGTGGAGTTGTTGAAGTTGATGGTGGAGTTGTTGATGTTGGTGGTGGAATTGTTGATGTGGGTGTTGGAGTTGTTGATGCTGGATTTGGAGTTGTTGGGGTTGAGGATGATGATGATGATTGGTAAATGCAGGAACCAGTGCCTATTCAAAATTTCAGGAGAGTGTCAGATATATACATATATATTTATATGGTTTAGATGATTGTTTAGCGTATAGCGTGTATTAAATCATATGGAAGAAACAAAAATTTATGATCATACTTGGATTAGCATTAACTATTGTGGCAACCCCTCCAAAGTCACAGCTAGTTGACACTGGATTCTTCTGATAATAGCTGTTGAATGCATATGAGGCATGATTTTGAAGAGAATTTGGATTGTAACAGCTTCCACCCTGTTGGATCTGTGAACAGTCTGCGCCTCCCATTCCACATGCATAGTCCAATCCTGCCTGAAGTGCTGTTTGCTGTGCTCCACTCTTGGCCACACACCAGCTCTGTCCTGGAACTGCAGGAGTATTATTAGTTGTTGCAGGAGGTGAGACTGGGTTTGTGACAGGTGTTGTGACTGGAACGCCTCCAGATGGTGGCGGGTAAGTTGTCACAGGATTTGTCGGGGGTATGGTGACGGGTGTGATGGGGGTTGTGGCTGGATTGGTAACTGGTGAGCTCACCGGATTTGTGGGGGGTATGGTGACGGGTGTGGTGGAGGGAACTTCCACTGGCGCGGCAGGATTGACCGGAGTTACTGTTACCGGGTTTGTAGCAGGGACAGTGACAATGGTTGGTGTAGGGTTATATGGAGGGGTGGTAGGCAGTGGTGGTGTTGATATGGGAGTTGTAGGGAAGACTGTTGGTGTGTCAAATGTGTCATGTGAAGTTGTTTTCAGATGGAAACTGCTTAAGAGTTCTCTCCTAGAAGAAGGAAAAATCTGTTCCTCTTCCCTTTTGAGCTCTTTCTGTGCAAAATCATCCATGGAAGCTACTTCTGCATATAACCCAACTAACCTACCTGTAATCTGAGTGTTGCTTTCTAAAGCTTTCAAAACCTTAACAGAGAATTCGGCTACTTCAGATGCACTGGGAGCTGCTGGACTTTTGATTGTCAAAACCATGGGGACATCTTTACAAGGAAGAACAGAATTTGCAAGGCTGGCTCTCTCAATCACTGACTGAACAAACCTATCACCCATACTCAATTCTCCATCAATATTGGCTTCTACAATGACTGAAGATCTCACTTCATTGATATAAGTACAAATCCTATGCAGATATCTTTCATGTCCTCTTCTCAAATTCTCAAGAGATGTCAAAGAAAATGCTACTGAGACCTTAATTCTTCTGTCAGAAGGAAGACTGGCAAGGACTGCTGAGTGCATGTATTTCAGGGTGGATAAAAGCATAGGTAGACTAGATTTTCTTGCATAGTCACTGCCACTAATTACTATGCTGCTTTTGATGTTTCCTTGTGAGAGAAAGGGAATTACACGGGTTTTCAGCCATGAGATTGAGGAATATTTGGAACTCATCATATTTTCATTCAAGTATAGATCAACAGTAACATCAGTGTTGGGCAGAGTACTTAAAATCCTAGGATCTTCAACGAAGACTTGAATCTGAGATGGGGTGATCTTGTTTTGCTTCAAGAACGATATGGTTCTACTAGGTGATGAAGTTGTAGTGTTTCCACTTGCATGATATGAGAAACCCACCAGAGTTCCTGTAAGGTGTGAAAAAAAATAGACAGAAACTTCAAACTACTTTTAACTTGTAATTTTAGCTGTAACTAGTTTTAACCCAATTTATAAAAAAAGCCTGATCAGAATATGAAAAATGTAGATCCAACTTCACATTAATTAGTGTGATGTTCATAAAGAGAACCATGGTTTCAGAAAAGCAGAAGATCAAAAAGTATAAGTAATAGTTTTTACTTACCTGATGAACAGCTAGAGAGAAGAGACAGGAAGAACAAGAAGAGGCACTTAGAAGCTGCATTGGCCATGATTATGTGAAGTGTTTCTGGGAATCTAGGCAGAGACCAAGCTGGATTTTTAATGTGATTCATAAAATGGAAATGCTTTTAAGACATTGCAGATAGAATTGGAGTGAATATAAGCACCCATTAGAGAGAGAGAGAGAGAGCAGAGTGTTGAAAATAAAGGTCAGGAAAGAAAAAGGACAAAAAAAGAAAGTGTGAAAAAGAAAGGTGACGAGTTGTAATGATAAAGAAAATATGTTTGCTTTGTCACTAAGGATATGGGGTTGAAAACCTTGTGTCTGCAAAACAGTAGAAAGAATCAACTATGCTTTTGTGCTTTTTTTTTCTTTCCCAAAGAGATATAAGCTCAGGATATAAAGTAGTCTAAACAAGTGGCAAAACATAGGCACATGATGTGTAAAAATACACATGCCGTAACCCTGGATATCATATTCCCATCCCACTACAGGTAATTTCTTTTTGGGGGCTAAAGAAGTTCACATAAGATTAAGATCCCCAGGCTGCTTAAGTATTTTATGGATGAGAAATTTGCATAAATATCACTTGAATTTTTAAGCATGCATACAATTATCACATGAACTTTTAATTTTAACTATTAACCACCTGAACTTTGTAAAGTGTTAAATTAAACACCTATGTCTAACTCTGTTAAAATTTACATTAAGTAAAGTTGTATGTAATATTTTTGGAAGGCAATTTCGTCAATTCACCATAACTAAATATTAAACAAAAAAAACTAACCTAATTATCTGAGGACCTCCACAATCCCTTCCTACACCTTTCTCCCCCACATGCGATACCCATAACCCTAGATATCATATTCTCATCCCACTACCTCGTTTAGTTCATGGGAAAGGAGGTTTGGGGATGGGAAATCAATTGCTTTCCTATGTTTGATAAGTCCAGTCATGGTAAATAGTTGTCTGACACATGAGAAAGTAGAGAGAAAGTGAAGCCATCCTCCTAATTTTGGTTTTGTTTTCCCCTCTCATGGGAAAGTTTGGGAAAATTAGCCAACATTAAATGCACATTTTTTATGATCATTTTGTCCCCATTAACAATTTAGAATTACAATATATCATTAGATGCATTCTTTTTTTATTTGATTTACTACGGATATAATTGAAAAATTATACAATCTTTGTTTTCCATTCCTAGTCAAAATAAATATGGGAAATGCAATAAAATGATATATCCCATTTATTTTCTCGACATTACCAAACGTGGGAAAGAAATTTTCATTTTCTCATATATTGGGAAATGACATGAAAAGTGATTTCCTCTCAAATCCGTTTCATGAACCGAATAGAATAATTTCTTTTGAGGGCTAAAGAAGTTCATATAAAATTAATATCCCCCGGCTGCTTAAGTATTTTATGGATAAAAAAATGCATATAAAATAGGAGTGATCAGCATCAAACAGCTGGCCTCTAGTTAATGGGGTGTTAAAGATTTGAATTTGGTTGGAGCATGATAAAGGAGGGAGGAAGGAGGCACAAAAGTCTAGCTATTTTGCTTAGATCAGCCAAGCACAAAATAACCAAAAACTAATGAATGATTATCAATAAAAGGAAAACAAAAGTTAATTGAAAGGTAAGTCTTCCAGAGAAGATTAGGCTTAGAAATTCACTTTTAGGTTTTGGCCTTTCCTTCTTGGATAAGGGTTTCCTTCTTAGTTACGTGCTATTGTCAAGGTCAGAAGCTCTTGAGTTCAACTGGCATCCGGATCAGCGAATCGTTTCCAGAATAAAGAAGATGAATAATTTGATGCAACCGGACCACAACAGGTCTTGTTGTGGCTGTGGAATGTGGATAGTGCATTGCCACATACACAAACAAACCATGTGAAATTTACAGCAAGATTTCTTCTGCTGCTTTATATTTATCATGTATCGTTTTGAGGTGAAAGCTATCAAGAAAATGCAGGGCACCATGTTCTCAAATGCATGATAAGGACACAAGAGAAAATCTAATATTTCCAAGTAGCACAGTGTGAAAAAGTAACCACAACCATTAGAGCCACCTTCTTTCTGCGGATTTAAAATAAGATGGAACATGCAACGTAAGAGTGGACAAAGACAACCCATGTGGAATAAGCTATTATGCTGCATTCAAATTTCAAAGTAGTGAATCAAAAGCAGCTTGTCTGACGAGGTCTTAAGCCGAAAGCAAGCAAGAGAGAGAGAGAGAGAGAACAGTCACACCTGTTATATAAGTTTGATAGATTTAATATGAACTTGGAAAAGGAGCCACGGATTAATATGAGGGGAAAAGGGGTGACAAAAGTCAGGATATATCATACGAGCATATTCAATATGGCAGATTTGCTTTGTGGTTTTGTTTGGTTGCTCATAAAGTTAACTTCTTCAAATCAAAACTATTGCACTTATCTTATATCTTTCATTCATAAAGTTAACTCCATCAAGTATCTTGTACACTTCACTACATATTCACAATATTCTTCCTACTCATTGGAGCCTCAAATATTTACAGTTGTTAATGCAAAATTACAACATCTTGTCATTCTTAGTTGTTTCTCAAATGCCACCTTCAACCAACAAATCACTGAAAGAGGGATCAAGAAGTGCTTCTCTGGCTGACTGATATTTGTCCAGACGCTTCTTCAATGAACGGAAATCTCTCTCGTCTTTTGAAGTTCGTTCCTAGCATAGAATGAATCAGTCAAAAGCATAAGTCATTTCTTCTTACAGTGCATAGTTTTAAAACATTAGACTTAAAATTGATCAGTTTTCACCCCCTTTGTGGTTGCCAGCATACCCCTGCCGCTGTTGTAGCATTTGTATAAGAAAAATTACAATAGTAAGTAGTTTTCTAAAATTAATTAAGAAAAACTTACAAATGATTTCTTTAGCAGTAAGACATCCACCAGGTACATCAACCACAGTGCATTTGTTCGGGGGAAGCTATAAAGATCAAAAGTTAACAATGATTCAGCACTAAAAAAATTCTTCTTTACTTTTCAATTTTGACTAACACATTTTCCCTTTTTGTGTATGATAATGAAATTTGATATATCAACCATACCTTCCCTCCCAGCAGTCTTCTGTTACCTCCTTCATCTTCCGGTATGTTTCTGACTGCAAATGATTTAACTATCATTTATTTTATTTCATAAAACAAAGATAAATTTACTGGTACAACTTTAGTTTCAATTCCTTACTTGTTTATCGCCCTTTGGACCTTTAAAGAGCTCAGGATCCGAAGATAGGTCTAGAAAGAGTATGTCATCACCTGTGCATATTTGATGTTTGTTAAGTACGCTACATCAACAATTAATGTATCCTCTACCATACCAAACACATCACAAAAGTATTTTAACAAGAATTCACCAGTGTTGATTCTTGAAAGAGTGAAATCTATTATTGACATCCCCAATCCAAATGTTTGGATAAACATCTGTTTTCCCTCAAGAGTGAACGGCATTGTAACAGAATCATTCCGACTTAAAAGGATGTTTCCCCTGTAAAAAATGTATATTCCTAAGTCAGCAGCACTCATAGATTCCAAAGTCATTATACTCACAAACACAACCATACCAGTGAAGATCACGGTGCTCAAATTCATATGCAGCTTCAGCTACAGCAAGGGCAGCTGTAACCTGAAATGATAATCCAATCATTTAAAAACAAATTGAAGTTTCAGGAATCACCACAAGAATTCTGTTATAGTGTATACTTTACCTGGACCAATAAACTCCGTGCCTCATCAGTGTTCCGAAGTACAAAGCTTTCCAGATCCTTGCCACCATGCTCTAAAACAAACACGACATAGCACTGTATGCAAAATTGTGAGTTGCATTGAATAAGTCTAAGTAACGTTAACCTCATAGTATGTGAATCATTTATACTTGAGAAGATCACCAAGTCATAGTTATGGAAGATTATTAGGACGACATATAGCTTATACACCAAAAAGAATATTAGACAAGTTTAAGTAGAGAAGGAAAAACCTGGTTATCTGGAAACGCCTTAGGGTGATCATTTTCTGAACCATGGTCTTCATCCCAATCCTCCCATGCGCTGATCAAAGCAGTATCATAAGAGCCTTGGCACACTCTCAAACTGTAAAGGAATCAGATCACAGAAATATGACAGAATAAAAATCTTGCAACTGATACGATCATTCAAGTAATCAATTCTATTAAGTCTTAAGCAGTTGTGGAATGATAGAACTTTAAAGTAAATACATACTCTATGGTTTCGATAAACATGGTGCAAGCATTTTGAAAATCACCCTCATGTCCTCTTAAGTAATTAAGAGTGCGGGAAAGTACGACCTCTTCTAGCAATTCTTCAGATCTCTGGAGCACAGTAACTTCATTACAGAATCATTCAACAAAACTGGAAATCCCATTACTAGAAGGCATAGTACTGCAGCTAGTACCTTTTGCACTTCCCCATTCACTAGTATGTTACCATCAATTGGGACTATTTTGCAAACATAGTTGCCAGCCTTGAAAGCTTCTCCAAATGTTCCTTCCCCGATTTTGGTAATCTTGTCTAGGTCACTGTTTCAAGAAATTTGTATGTTATGTTAGCTTACAGAAGCAGAGGATCAGCTAAAATATTGCGGGAAAAGGGGAGTTCAAATTGTAAAGGCAAACATATTACAAACAAGGAGCTTACCAATAGGAAGAAAAAACATCCCTAAATTTTAAGGGAACTGACTGTCCACATACTGCTAATAGAGCACGAAATGGATCCAAATCTTCACTATCTGATGAAGATGATGCCAGAGAGAGTTTCTTTACAGAAGCTACTATATCTTCACAACCGTCATTGCCCACATCCGGCACCGTTTCAAGCACACTTCCATCAACCAAACTCAATTCAAATCTGCTTTGCGCAGAAGGCAAACGAGAATTGACTTTACTAGAATTTTTTGGGGTTTTCAAACTTGAAGATTTCAAATTGTTACCACCAATGGGTTCTGAAGGTATGGGCCGCATGGTTGAAGTCTGCAGTATCTTAGACAATGTGCTGGAAGGCTCGAAAGTGAAGTTTAGCTTCTTGAACAACCATTTATCTAATGGAGAGCACAACTTGGGTAATGCAACAGTATCAGTTTGGTTGCCCGCAACCCATGTAGTAGGTTTGGGAGAGGGGCTCTCCTCCAACAACTCAAAGGCATCAACCTCTTGAAAGTAAGCCTTCTCCTCTTCAAATTTGTACTTCCCCTGGAGATTCCGAACATTAAAAACGGCATACAATTGTGTTTAAACTTTAATAGAGTACATGCAATTGAGGCATTGCAATGCTAATAACAACATGCAAAACAGAAACACAATTGTTCTTTAAAAAGGAGCTCACTTTGGGAAGAGCAGCTTTTCCTTTTCTCTTTCCTTTTCTTTTAGGCTCCTTATGTTGAGGATGATAATCAAAGCAAACACCAACAGCAACACTTGTCCTCCCTCTATCAAGCACAAAAAAACAATCAAAAGCTGGAATGAGATAGCAGCTACATTATTTAAGCAAAAGTTACAATAGTGACTAACTATAACAAGCTCAATCTATAGAATCAAAAAAGAAATTCAGTAAATGGGTGCTACCCAAACAGCCCCTCACCACTAACCACATAGTAATCAAGCTCATACCACAAAATCCAGAAGCGGAAAACAAAAGGAATCATAATAAACACAAACCCAAAGCTCACAAGACAGCGCTGATAGACACAAGTTCAACAGCAATCTCGGAAGAAAGAGAACAGGTCCAACAGAGATAGAGATAGAGAAAAGGTGGGCGCTTTGAAATGAACCTTGTAGAAAGGGAACGGGTCCAACTGGTTTTCCTGTTGAGAGCTCCAGCAGCAGGAGCCAAACTCACCCTTCCCACATAACGAGCCGAACATGACTGCTTTCTGAGATAGGCAAAATCAAAAACACATTGAGAGCACAAATTAAGAAACTTTTTGGTTTCGCAAAACAAAAACACATAAACACAACAGAGATTAGATTTGAACATACGAAGGTTCTACATCTTGAGTGGGTTTGTTGGGCTTTCTTCTTCTGTAAATCGCTTCACACTGTTGTCGTTGATCGGAGACTTCACCTCCTGAAATGTATTCCTTAATAATGGAAATTAACTTGGGTAATGAAGAAGACTAATGGAAGAAATTAGGGTTTTCTCTCAGTACCTGCGTTGAAGTCCATTAGAGAGAGAAGGATTTTGAATGCTTCGTCTTTTGGGCGGGAACTGTAGTCGAGGCAGAGATAAAAGAAATGTTGCGTTTAGTGGAAAGAGAAAAGGTATGGCTTATAAGTCACCATTCTTACGACTTAAACGGTGCGTTTGGTGTAGATGGCATTATTCAGCGGGCTGGGCTGGGATGGTGCTTCTTGGAGTTTTGGGTCTCCAATTGTATATTTAAAATTTTTAAACCCCTACAGTCTACAGCCCAGGATTTCAATCCTCCAAATAAAGATGAAAGAGAAACTTATTTGTGGATTTGCATTAACTAAAGTTTTAGTAACCTTGTTGTTCAACCCTATTTTCCAAGTTCCCTATGATATAGAACCATTGCTTAAGGCTTAAAGTCGGTCTTGGCCCAACTTATTAGATCTTCGGCAAAGGAAATTCGAACTTGGATGTAAGGGGACGGATTCACTATTATGGGAAGGAAAAAAATTGCTATCATCTAATTATCTCTATCATCGTTGACAGCTTCTCTAAAATAGTTTATTTCCACTAAACCCATCCTTCTTGTTAATGCTTAGCTACCCTGTGCTTCTTTGTCTTGGCATTTGTTGGTTAGCAAAGCCTAGAAGCCTCTCTGCGTAGACAATAATGAAACCACCACTACTTGTTCACTCATTTGTTTGGTTCTTTTTTGCCATTTCTTAAGGTGCTTATTATATTTCATTCCAAAAGTATTTTTCTTGTGACTTTCTAATATGTTTGTATCATGCATGGATATATATTGCTCAACTCTGAGCATTATTTTCATCAATCTTAATTTGTTTGGAGAGCATAATTAATATTGATATTCAAGCAAGAAAAAAGGGGAAATTTTAAGCTTTATAATCAAAACTCAAATAATTTCGAAAGGACAATTACACACAACACAACCACCTAACCAGTATCCTACATAACCAAACCATATACCATATGGATGTTGAGAATAGTGTGATCAAATTAGACCATATATACATATTCAAGTTCTAAGATTTTCAAGATGTGGTATCAGCTAACACCCAAGGACCTATCGCAAAAACTCCCGGTAAATGTTTCAAAAAAAGCTTTCATGTAATTTATATCTACAAACCATTTGAGAAATGATATTGTTTGTCAGTCCGGAAAAGACTCCCAAAATTACATTATATAGGAGGAACTCATTGTCTAAACTTAGAAACATACCAAAACTTACAAGCATTTCCCTGTAACATGAAATAAGAACACTCCATAATTTTTTCTATTTTGTAAATTTATATTGTGGTAAATGATAAATAATTGTTCTTTCGCAGTTTTCTACATCGCTTGGGGTATTCTAGAAGAAAGAAAATAATATCTAGCGAAAAACAGGAGGAGAAATCATTTTAATCAGCATATTGTAGCTAATCTGGTAATAAATGACGGTTCCTGAGGTTTAGCGGCGATTGGTGACGGTTTACGGACCTTTACTGACAAAATTTATGCTACATCTAGGCAAAATGAGCTTAGCGACGGTTTTTTTGGCCCCTAACCGTAGGTAAAAACTCTTTCAGCGACGACATACTTAACCGCCGCTAAAAGTCAGCATTACTTTAAAATTCGTCTCCCACACCCGTATCTTAATTGGATCACAAATTTTAAAGGGACTACCTATCAAAATTTTATTTTTATGCTCACTGGGGATCGCTTATCAGACCCAATAAACAAAAATGCGGTTTATGGAGGAATACAATAAACGATAAAAAATTGAAACCTAGAGATGGAGCTACTTTAGTTTACATCAACTAATACTCAATAGATATACAGAGGAGGTGTTCGCTTTATATCAACCAGTATAACAATTGCAAGCCTGCATTTGCAACCCCTGCACTTAAGAGTGATTCCAATGTTTTTTTCTCAATCTTTGAATTGTCACTTCCTGCGACACATGGGGCAAAAGCCTGCGAAGCATGTGAATTTACCCATTGATGCAATGAAGATGGAACCGGCGGTTGCATGCCCCACAAACTGCAAGATAAATGAACAAGCAATTTAGTGAATTATCATCAAGCTGTACCAAAAATGAACGGAATAATTAATATCAAATAAAAATTATAAACCAAGAAACACAAATCAGACTGATAATGCAAAATGTGAAATGTCCGAATCTAGTCGGATCAATGCATGTAAGGTAAGCAATTTGGTTGGCCTTCTTGATAATAGAACAATAATGTAGGGTTTGACTATGTACATGATGTTCTAAGGTGTCGGCAGAAGACCCGACTCCAGATATTTGAATCATATTTGGGTAGTTCATAGAAGAAAAAGAAAGAAAATCCAAATGCCAATGCTTGTAAATTAACAATGAACTGCATATTGCATACTATTGAGAAATAAAGCAAGACCCCCACAAAAATCAGAACAGAAAACTCGTACACATTCACATATCCCAAAAAAGGATAAGAATTAGAGCTCCAGACTCCAGAGAAGTAGACGAAATAGAACATATGCCAAAAAAGGGTACTTAAGAGTTAAATTTATACACATTTACACCTGCAGCAATTGATTAGTTCCAAATTGATTAACAAATATAAAAGATAGAGAAGAGATAAAGAAGACATTGTGTTTGAAAAGCCCAGCGTATATTCGAAAATAGAGTTCTGTCAAGAGAAAACTGTTTCTATACAATGTGTGCAATACATAACTTTCACAACAAACATGTTTCAAGTATAGGCAAATGAATTAGCAAACAAGATCACAATGTAAAATTTTAAAGCCGATAAAAAATCAGTAATTCTTGACGAAGCCAATTCATATTAAATTCAATAATACCATCAAGCTAAAATTCATTCTACTGTGATTAAATAAATGCAAAAAGGTTAACATCATAGAAGTGAAAGAATAGGAAAATTTAAATGATAGTTATAAATAGTATAAAGTATTGCATTTAAAAGAAAGGAACTGAATAACGAACTGAGAAGTGAATGATAATAAACTTTGTTTGGTTCCATGAGTTATTTATAGTGTAGCAAGGACACTTGTCATTATAAAATGTTGACTAGTGTCATTCTGTGATTAGTTGCTTATATGGGTTTGTTAGAAGTCTGCTAGAGAGTTCGTTGGGTTAATTAGTTAAAGATGAAGGTGTTAACTGTATAAGGGTTAATCATTCTTGTAAAATTCTCATTATCATCAGAAATAACAACAATCTCCTTCTTCTACAATTGTCTCTGTAATTCTTTCTATAATTCTTCATTGTTTTCAGTTTTGCGAAGATATACTCTCAGGAAACAAAACTCAGAAGCCTATTACACAGCATAATGCACCAAAACAAAATTCAGACAAAACAAACATACTCTGAGGGTGCTATTACATAGCATAATGCAACAAAACTGTCATTCCAGCAATCTTATGCCCAATGACAACTTTCAAATTCAAGTTGTGTCATCCTTTTGAATTCGAATGATCTTTTTTCTGCAATCTAAATTTGAAAGGTTTTGGCTTGCAAAAGTTAATTGAAGAATGTTATTTATTGGCATTGGCAGACAAATGAAATTTGAAAATGCAGATTGGCACAACAACATTCTTTAGGAATTTATTCAGTTTCTCAACAGCAACCAAATGCAAACATAGAAGTTTAATGGATAAACCAAAATTATGACTTGCATTGCATCTAAAAAGAAAATGGAAATGTAGAAAACAAATGATAAAAGAGAAATGCCACGAAAAGAAGAGAGCTTGCGGGTGTTAAAGGCAATGAGCTTGGCAGCCACACTGGCCCAGTGGCCACTACCCACAACACAACGGTGACTTTGGTTTTGTGAGGAGCTTTATATTTCTTCTAAACTTGATTTAGGATTATTGCATTTCAAGTTTAGAAGAAAAAAACCATATAATAAAATCTCGAATCAGCCCTAAATATATCAAGTTCAACTCAAAATTAAGACAAAATCTAAAACCACCAAAGGCATCATATAATACCAGAAAATATAAATCAATGTTGTCATCATTGTAAGATCTAGAGAAAACCAGCCATGGAAACGTACCTAGGGCAGAATCGGAGCCACGGGACGTTCAACAGAGAAAACGAGAAGAAGGCGAAGCCCCAAATCGATGTAGAAGACGACGCTCGCCCTCACCCTCGTCGTCGTCGTTTGGGTTCCAGAGTCCGGGCTTGGGCTTAGACCCGAGAGGCCATGTTCAGTCTGAGTCAAACTTAAGCCCATAAAAAATGACTAGGACTTGAGAAGTGTGGTCCAATTTGGCCCACCAAACAAGTCGTGATTTTTAAAATCCCAAATTTAGCCCTGGATTGTGTCTCCTTTTTTTTTTTTTTCGGTCTTTTTCAGTGGTTACATTTTTAATCTGAGTAGCCTAGTAAAACTGTAAGGTGTTCAAAGAACATTTTAGGGTAGCCATAGAATCTCTTTCCACTCAATTGTTATGTGCAAATGTGTGATAAGTAATTACTTGGATTGGATTGAACTTACTTCTATAGGAAGTAAATCCGCTTATAAGTAAGTTATAGCCCAATATTATTTATGACGCAAGATTCGATTATAGAAAAAGTTGGCTCACTTAAGCCTTTCTTTTCTTTCCTTTCCACGATCATATGGAAAACGGCTTAGATCTATTATTTTGCCTCATTGTAAATTCTTTGTAACAACTCTATTTAAACAATTCAAACTTTTTTTTTTTTAAATTCAGACATCCTTTACATTCCCGTATTCAGCTCCCCAAATTTGCATCTCTCCATGCTCATATGGCTTTGCATTAACTAAATTTTAGCAACCTTGTTATTGGCCATCCCCAGAGAAGATATATATTTTCCAAGCTCCATTTGATATAGACCTGTTGCTTAAGCTTATCCTAGTGTTTTTAATTTAGTGTGTCTTTTAGCTCTTCAATTGGCTTTAATTGGAACAGCTCTCAACAATGATGCGTCAATATTTCCTTTTGCTTGAGAAATTTATTAGCAAATATCACTTTCTTTGTTTGGGAAGGAAAAAAATTGGTGCCATCTAATTATCTCTATCACAATTGACAGTTTCTCTAAAATGGCCAGTTTGCACTAAAGTTTTAAACCCATTAAGTAATGCTTAGCTACCCTGTGCTTCTCTGTCTTGCCATTTGTTGTCTAGCAAATCCTAGAAGCCTCACCACAACTTGTTCACTAATTTGTTTGGTTCTTTTTGGCCATTTCTATTTGTTGGGTTATATCTGCTTATAAATTCTTCTTTTTCAAGGGTGTTTTGTAATTTACTTATATGTTATATCATGCATGTGTGTGTATATATATATATATATTACTTGATTTTAATGGGTATTATGTTAAATTTCAGAGAAATAGATTAGTGGTCCACTACTAACAACATCGATATTATTCTCAACTTAACCACTTACAAAGTCTGATATATGTGAGATTTTATCTCAAAAGGTCTTGGTGATATTAGTAGTGGAATCACTTATATTATATTTATTTCTGTCAAATTTCGAATGTGGGACTTATTATATTCTTCAACACGCACTTTTGCTCCTTCCATCAAATCGTGCAATTAAAAATGCCTTTAAAAATGAACGCATTTTCATCAATTTTAATTCGTTTGGAGCATAATTAATATTGATTTTCAACCAATAAATAATAATAAAAAAGGGGGAAATTTAAAGCTTTATAATCAAAACTCAATGGGACAATTAGACACAACACAATCACCTAACCAATATCTTGTGGATTTTAGATATTGCTATATTAACCACTAATTAATGTCCTTGTTTAAGTCACATAAGCAACCATATACCATATGGATGCTGTGGAAAGTGTGACCAAATTAGACCATATACCTTGTCTAAGAATATACAATCATCAATAATCCTAATTAATTTGCAAGTTAGCTTATTATAATATGGTGTGGGTAGGGCACAAGATGTCTAACTATTTTTATTTATTTAAAAACTTGATGACATAATTATATGATGATTAACTGAATCTGCAGGTTCAGAGGATACCAAACGATATCTTTCAAATCAAATTTTGTTAGGGTTTCTTTTTCAAAGTTTATGGATAATGTAGACTAGCCACCCTATAAATCATATCGCTATTTCATTTTCAGTTGATGAGGAATTGTAATCAATATTTCTTTTGCAGTTCCATGTCTCTCTCTTTTTCACCTCCTATAAAGTCTTTTCTTGTCCCTCTATAAACCCTAGCTCGTTCAGGTGGTATTTAATTAATGTTAGTAGTTGCATATATACTTTCTGCAATGGTTGAAAAGATGAACACTATTTTGCAAAAAAATCCCAAAAAAACAAAAAAAAGGAATATTCCTTATTTTTTTTGTTTTGAAAATTAAAAGGGATAATCTTTCTAAAAGGATAATGTTAAATACATTTTGTTTTATTTACACTAACGCTCCTGAGGTTTTCGGTGTTTTCACAAAATTCATTGAGGTTTCAAAAATTACACAAATACCCCCTAAGATTTCAGATTGTTTTCATAAAATCCATTTTTGTTGATCACTCGTCCAAAAATTGATGATTTCATTACAAAAAACATATGCAACTGATAAAATTAACCTAAATGAATGAATGTGCAATATAATCTCAAAGACTAACTTTGTCATTTGAAATTTTTATATACATAAAATTACCAATCTTTGGACTAAAAATCAACATAAAGGAATTTTGTAAAAATAATTTAAAACTTTAAAGGATGTTCGTGTAATTTCTGAAACCTCAAAAAAATTTGTGAAAAACCTAAAAATCTCGTTTGTTTCATTGTTATATAATATAGACTATGACGCAACAACAAATCCTATGATGGGGAAGTAGAGCATGCGTAGAAAACTAGAAAATTTGGAATTTACGAGGGCCTTTTGGTGGGCTAAAAAGTCGTGCTAGCTAGCGCTTTGGTCCACATTCCCCCAAATCTCTGCAATCTGCATGGATTCCCCTCATTCACCGCATGGAATTAGCAATGTCAATGTCATGCCAAGAATTCTTTTCCATCCCACAGTTTTCAAGCTAAGTTTTAATCATTCACTCAATTTTCTTTCATTATTATTCTTCCTAATCATCACGATTGAGAGTCTCACAACATGTTACAAAAACCAGATGTGACTAGATAAAATATTAAACTTTGATTGTGCATTTATGTATTTCACATAATTTCATCTTAAAAAAAACAAACATATAGGGTAATATAAAATTATTTATCAATTAGCCATTAATTTAATAATATTTTTCGTTTTAATGTTAGAAGAAATCTCAAATTCAACTCCTCGATTTCTACCGAAAAAGAAAAGTTGTGTAAAGTCAACAACTTATCTGTTTCAACAATATAAACCTATTTGGTTGAATGTAATTTCGTAATCATAGGATACAAAAGAAAGATCAAATTCACAATCATCGGGATCCTAAAGAATCGAACTCAATTAATGCAGTCTTTTCAACATAAGAGTCACGGGTTGCGCGGCTAAATGAAGATGCATAATTTTAACCAAAATTAAAACATTATGCCACTGCATTGTGATCACTCAACGGACGTCGCCTACATTGCATGCAATCAATTTCTTACAATTAAGTTCTAAAGGTAGGGCAATTTATAAGTCTGATCCTCCTTGAAAGCAAGTTTTTTGTTGTCGTTGTTGTTTATAAGACCTCTCTTATGTTTTTTTTTTCTTTTTTACAAAGTAATATTCTAAACTACTCTAATGTTCGGAGAGGGAAATCAAACTCGGATGCAAAGGAACAGACACATTGTCTTAACCAACTGGCCTAACCCGCATATGCAAGACCTCATTTATGCTAAATTATACGCATTAGTACCGACCCAATTCAATGTCAACGGACTCAACAGATCATTGCTATGGTGATGATGGTCAGTTTTAGCATAAATGGTTTCGGCATGTCAAGCAAGGGATCAGATTCATCAGAAATGGAAACCTAGTAAAGGATAGCAGATGGGGTTAGCTTAGCTTTCATTATCTGGGTCCATGTCATGTGTTACAAGCCTACACGAAAGAGCAACCAATAAATAAAATCCAAAATATATAAATATGATTGTCCACCGTTATATATTAGCTAATAGCTAGGCCACAGTTATGGCTACGTACAAGATTTCACTGCGCATGCACGTTTTAGACAAAACCATGCAGGCACCTAACATCCACGTACAATTATACAAGCCAATTGCTTGAGAGGGCTTCTTTTGCCAAGTTAGGCACAAACAATTGTTCAATACAGGGTTGATTAGGGTCTGACATTGAAAATGTTGTGGTGGTTGTTAATAGCTTGTGCATATCGGTAGCTCAAGCCTCTTCAATTTGATGGACGATTTCCTAACGCCTAATAATTTCCAACACCAAAATAAAAAGCACCAATCGATCTACTTCTATGTTTATATGAATGGACATGGACATAATTTTGGTAGCTATGCGTAAGGCCATATGGGGTATAATGATTTGCAAATTCACAAAAATTCAAAGAAAATTTGATTTGATGGGCGATTTACGGGCGGCTATAGAGTCGAAGTTCCTTTTCACTGCTTCGCACGGCTTCACAAGAAAAGAATAGACTACTTAACTACTTCGACGATGAAGTATATATTAATATGGATAACACAAAGTCTCAAGCCTTAGTGTAAGTGTGTGTGTGCGCCCTAGTGATGATTCCTTCGAAGAGGTGAAATATTCATTTTTGGTACAAATAATTAAAATCCCACGTATATTAATTATATTTATATATTCAATAACTTGTTTACTTACCTAATGGTCAATTTGGACTAAGAGACCATGTTACAAGACGCCAGTGGTCCCAATTTTTATTTATTTAAATATGAAACTGAGATCAGGTTGCAGGAAAACTAACAGAAGTGGACAGCTTATGACAGATACCAAATTGCCAGCGGTGATTTCTAGAACAATAATATAACTCAAATAAATCATTGAATATTTTTCCTTTTTTTTTTTCCTGACCTATTAGTTTATGGATGAACTAATTTTTTCTTAAATATAGTTTTATTTAATTATTTATTAACATATTGATTGGCTAAAAAAAAAAAAGAAAAAAAAGTGAATGTTGGGTGGTGTTACAAGTTTTAAATTGCAGCCAAGAGGGGAAGCACATTCTCTCTTCAAGCTTCAGGGAGGCACATCTTTGTTATAAAATAAAGAATTTTACTGAAAACCATATGATATAATAGTATTCTACTGCTTTTGCATAACAACTGATTCCCTATAGCATTGACAAACCACAAAGGAAAAAATATATATAATCCCTGTCGCATGCTGCATTTCAATAGTTTTTTTTTATACTGTTTTTGTTTATTTCATATTTGTTTTCTTATTTCAGTATTTATGGTGAACCGAATTTCCTTGTGGTGGTACCACATGCCTTGTTGTCCCGTGACCCACCCCTTCGTCTTTCTTTGTTCATAGGACGATAGGAACTCGTGATGTTGCCGGATGAATAATTTAACAATCATGCGTAACTCAAATGATTAAGAACATGCTAATATTTTTTTTTATTACAATCAAACCCAAGATTTATAATCCTTTTGGCAAGGACTCAAATTTTAAGTGGTAGTTATGAACAGGAGTATATTTTGGTGGGAGATTAGAAACCATTACAAATTAGAAACAGAGCAAGAAGCAAAGCAATAATCTCTGTTCAGTTGATAAAAAAAACAACTGGTGTTTTTGATAAGGTTGAAGACAACTGGTGACAGATGGCATTTACATTCCAAATTTCACTCGTACTTGCATTGCATATCCGATATACTAACAGTTGGTTGCCTTTATAAATAACTTGTAACCTATGAACACAGAGGGAGGTGTTTGACTTGACCAAGTAACGGCTGAGATTCGAGAATTGTAATCTGAAAAAAAGTAAATTTTTTTTTCTTCTTTTAATATTGAAAAATGACAACAGTTGTAACAAAAAAGCAGAAAACTTGAGAGCTGTGACTACAGTGATATCTAAGATTCACACACCCAACTCAACTCACAACAGTAGCAAGCACACAAATACGGCAATCAATTCTAATAAATAAATACACAATAATGGAAAAAAGAAAGAGAGATTTTAAAGTAAATTACTGGTAATCAATCAGTCATGTTCATATCAAATCAGGAAAATCTCAAGACCTTTACATCACAGAATTCCATGCTTCTGTTTTACTGTATGTGTTATGTTTTTGAAGGCATCTCAGTCTGAAGACTCCCAACTCACCACCTACCACTGATAACTCCATCCCTTCTTCTTATATCCCCACCACTCACAGATATCAGTTTTTTCCATGTCCCTCTACCATTTTGCGCAGGTACATGATCTTTCTTGTTATTTTTGGGTTTGGGTTTTTAAGATGGCTCAGTGCTGGTGCCAGAAAGCTCCATCTCATCTTAGATTCAGACACACATTTGCCCCACAGAGAAAACCCATATAGGAATTCCAGTTTTATTGGCTATATATTTTATTTTTAACTTTTAATTTTAGTTTTGAGCACTGGGCTCATTTGGGTTTCTCAAAGAGGCTTTCTTGATATATGTTTCTGGGTTTTTCTTGGTCAGAGATCTGGAATTGTGTGTTTAATTGTTTGTCTTAGGACAAGGAATGTTGAAGGGGTTTCAAAGATCTGGCATTTCAAGGTTGCTCTTTTGAGTTCCATCACACAGAGGTAAGAGGTTGAAATTTTCTTTTCAATTATTAACATTCGTCTACTTTCACATTCTCACCCCCCACAGAGAATGAATTTGTTTATTGAGTTATTGTATATGCATTATGTTCTGTCCATATGTTTATTGAACTGCTTTGGTTTGTCTACTAATAATTTGACGTTTCTGCTTAAGCCCTGCATCTTTCTTATTTGGTTATGTGGCTCTGACAAGTTTTCTCCTTTATTGGTAGTTTTTTTTTTCAGTTTTCATTTTTGTGTGGAATTGGTTAAAAGTACCAGGTTGTAATTTTATCATCTCTAGTTGATGCAAATGGATTGAAAGAAAAGATTTTGATAGTGATATAAATGATGAATCAGAAGCTATCTTAATGTGAGATTCTGCTATGTGTAGGGTTTTTGGTATCTGATAGAATGGCCTCCGATCTGAAAGCAGAGTTATCCAAGGAAGCTTTCTTTAATCTGAAGGTCTGGGAAGTAATTGGAATAGCTGTTGCATTATTTATCATAATTATCCTCTCTGTGCTATCAATGTGCCTTACTTCACGTAAGAAATCAAGGAAAGCTAGGGACAAGATTCCCCTTAGTCAAATCCCAACTGTCTCAAAAGAAATTAAGGAAGTTCGAGTGGAGCAAGTATCTGCAAGTGAATTTGCTCCTCGTGATGGAATTCTTCTCACCATTCAAGACAAATCCAGTGACAAAGAATCAGATAAGGTCATGCTCCATTTGGGTATGGGCAAATCGAAGAATGGAGAGAATAGCAGCCAGTCAGGTTCATTTAATCAATTAGAAAACGACGGTGGCCTGTACCAATCTGGAGAAGAAGGGAGTTCCAGCACAGTTACAGTGTATAAGGCTTCTTCATCGTATCCAATAACTGCCCCGTCTCCTCTAGTTGGCCTGCCTGAATTCTCTCACTTGGGTTGGGGCCACTGGTTTACATTGAGGGACCTTGAGCTTGCAACAAACCGGTTTTCAAAGGAAAATGTCCTTGGTGAGGGCGGATATGGAGTTGTTTACAGGGGAAATCTCATCAATGGGACTCCAGTGGCAGTTAAAAAGATCCTAAACAACCTGTGAGTTTGCTAATATCCCGACTCTATTGTGGTTTGTCCATTCACCATTCTTGTTTCCATGAATTTGTCTTAACTTGAACTGTTTTAACGTCTTTAGAGGCCAAGCAGAGAAAGAGTTTAGGGTGGAAGTTGAAGCAATTGGCCATGTGCGGCACAAGAATTTGGTTCGTCTACTGGGATACTGCGTCGAAGGGACTCATAGGTACCATTTTCTTTTAAAGTTTATTAAGTGTGATGAACTAACTAATTGACTATAAGTTTTGAATTGTTTTCTCATAAAAAATGAGATATCAAAGTATGTGTAGGTCCCCATAAATTAGGTGGAAACAAAGAAGCTTTTGTGGCTTTAATACCAGAGAGGTGGATTGATCTCTCAGTATTGAGTATATAATAGCCTACTGCTGTTGAAGTAACACCTGAACTACAGTAGTTGGTCTCATTTGCATTTCAAAATTTCAGGATTTTGGTCTATGAGTATGTCAACAATGGAAACTTGGAGCAATGGCTTCATGGAGCAATGCGTCAACATGGATATCTCACTTGGGAAGCACGCATAAAGGTTCTCCTGGGAACTGCAAAAGCGTAAGTCAAATCGCGTACAAACTTTTTTCCAGGTTTTCTAGTTCTCATTTAATGTAATAATACTTGTTGCAGTCTTGCCTATTTGCATGAGGCCATTGAACCAAAAGTGGTACACCGAGACATTAAATCTAGCAACATATTGATTGATGAAGACTTCAATGCCAAGGTATCTGATTTTGGCCTGGCCAAGCTGCTGGGTGCGGGGACAAGTCATGTGACAACTCGTGTTATGGGAACCTTTGGGTTAGTATTATTTCTTGAGCATGACCCTTTTTGGCCCTGACCAATGCTGTTTCTTTCAGTTTTAGATGCTCAGAATAAATTGATTAATTGATGCTAGAGGATTAATTATTTCTCTTGTCCCTGCTTCCCAAAAAACATTTCAGATATGTCGCCCCTGAATATGCTAATACCGGACTTTTGAATGAAAAGAGCGATGTGTATAGCTTCGGGGTTTTGCTCTTGGAAGCAATTACTGGAAGAGACCCTGTGGACTATGGTCGCCCTGCACATGAGGTATGCGCAAGTTATAAAAATCAATAGCATAGAAACTTTTCTAACCATCCTAAAATACCTCACTCTTGTCAACATAGAATCATAAAGAAGCTTGATGCAAGTTGGATTTATTATCTGTATTAAGTAGTGAATGCCCCTTAAAAGAATGTATTCAATAGTGTATGGTAGACAGTTACCATTGGACAGTTTACAGTCTAAATCTACTTAGGAGTGCAGAATTATGTAGAGGATACTCTACAGACAGAAATGGCAATCAAGTTATAATATTGCAACTGTACACATGTTCATTGCGTTAATTTCTTTATCTCTATTTTGTAGAGGATACTCTACAGACAGAAATGTCAATAAAGTTATAATATTGCAACTTTGTGGAGTTTTGTTTGACATGTAGTTTTAATGCTCACAGGTAAATCTGGTCGATTGGCTAAAAATGATGGTTGGAAGCAGAAGGTCTGAAGAAGTCGTAGACCCAAACATTGAGGTGAGACCATCAACAAGAGCCCTAAAACGAGCTCTCTTGACTGCTTTGAGGTGTGTTGATCCAGATTCTGAAAAAAGACCCAAGATGGGCCAAGTTGTCCGTATGCTCGAGTCCGAGGAATATCCCATACCAAGAGAGGTTAGATTCTCATTCTATCTCTGAAATACAATTTCTGATGGATTGCAATTTGAATTTATGTCTGAAGAAGGATAATGAACCTGCAATACTTTTGATCTTGTTTGCTTCTGAATCCCAGGATGAAATATCTGATTCCGTTTCTAACTAACCACATTGCCTCTTACTTTGTCCTTGTTACATCTGCATTCTAGACCCTTTTAGCTGTCTCCTGAATTGGTGTTACCTTTTTTTTAGTGAATGAGCCTCTAGTACTGTCTTGCTTGGAATAAATTATTCAAAATTTGATTCAAATGAACAAAATATTTTGTCCATGCAAAAGATTTAATCAATTGATTATCACATGCATTTTAATTGCTCAATTTTCTATCCAAATCCCATTCTCTGCAACTACCTTTTGTGTTCCCATTCTCTAATCCATTATGGTGTTGGTCCTTATAGGATCCCAGCTGATTGACATTTACTGGTCAACCAATGGCTGGACATTTGATTTGATGATTTTCAGCTGTCTTTTGAATATAAGTTTTCTTCTTGATGTTCAGGATCGAAGACACCGAAGAACTGAAGCAGGCAGCATGGACATTGATTCCCAGAGGGAAAATTCAGATACTGATCGGAGTGATTATCCGGGTTCAAGATCAGAAAGCAAAGGCTATCAGCGGACGTAATTAAGCCAGTGGTTGAGTTGAGAATCTCAGAAATATAGAAAGTGAGGGTAATTCTTAATTTTTTTTTTCTACTCCCAAATTCTTGGGTGTGTGTCTGATCTGATGCTATTAGGGCAGGGGAGAGGGGGTTGATGGGGGAGAGAGATGATCCTTGTATTCCTTTTTTTGTTCTCCCTTCCTTTTTCCTTTTGTTTCTTTCTGGTAGATGGAGAGATATATTGTTTGTGTATCAAAGTGGTGGTGTTTGTGAAAAACCCAAGACAATGGGGGCTATGTACAGAATGATTGCTCTTCAAATTTGTTGGATGAAATGCTCCCTTTTTTAAGTTAGATAAAAACAATTTGTATTTATAATTGTGTTAAGAACGCTGCAGCCACGACAAGCTCAGAAAATAATAAAAGAACCGACTGTGTTTTATAAATAATGACTCTAATGAAGTCAACTAGATGAATGTTGGTTGAATCAGCTTTTGGAATGGACAAAAGTTCATCTCCATTAACATGCTTCAAACTACTACTTTTGACGAACCAAATTGAATTGGACAATTTTGGATATAAGGCACAGCCTGTTTAAAGGACATAAGGTAGTGCAAAATAGACTAAGAGAGCACCAAGGAAAAGCGATAAAGAAAAGAGAGGAAAAACATGTCTGATGTTGCTGTCAATCATAGCAATGTATGAGCTTTTCTGTGGCACCAAGAAAATGGACATCTCACTGTGCTTCGCAGGTTGCTTTGGATTGAACCCAAACAAACCATCCAATCAATACTAGGCTATATGCGTATCCAAGTAGGTTTTACATCCTGCCCAGGTTAAGGGGACACAGAATCTTCCATGATTTAACACCCTTTCTTTCATTCTAAGGGCCATGAAGGGCCAAGGTGAAAATAGGTACATGCTCAGGTGGTTGTTTTGGACAGATGGTATTTGATATAATTTCCATTGTCTTGGTTGTCTTCTGGCTTTAATGTTAAGAGGCAGGCAGCCAACTTTTTATTTATTTATATGGTTACTAGAGGCATATCAGTAATTGTTTTCACTTTTCAGAAAGCCCAAGAAGTTGTTTTGTTCTAGTCAGGTGAGTGTTGTGCCTACACTACACCACATCTCTCAGAATTAGAAATCTTCTTGACCCTTATGTTGGTTGACATCTACATAAATGTTTGGTTGCAGGGCAGGCTCTTTTTTGCGCATTTCACCGCTGATCATGAGCTTAGCTGCGGTCTGATGATTTTAAGGTATGGATTATGCTGTGGGGCAGTATGTTTAACTTAATCACTAGGGTTTAGTTGATGGTTTCTGGGGTTAATCTTTTTGTTGGTTCCTGATACTCGAAAAGGGGTCTACTTAACAAAGTTTTACTGCAATCTTTTTTACATAAGAACATGGTATTTCTGTAAATGGTAATTCATGATCCAGAGACCCAATAGTACCAAAACGGGAAATTAGCAACAAAGAGACAATGACATATCATTGTTATCATGCATATCTTGCCAAGCAAGACAATGTTTCTAAATTAACTTATCTTTGTTCTGGTCAAATTGCTATTGATATAATTAAGTAATATCGACGTAGTTTAATGTTTTTTATTTCTTGCACAAAAAGGGCAGTGATCAAGGGCCCCATGTGTGACCTATTCTTCCTCTATAATCCTAATTTCCCAAGTATTCTTCTCTATTAAGACTCCAATAAATCAGTCAGCTCAATATTTTTATCACATTGACTTGGACCTAGTGGATAGCCAACGGAGGAATAACTACTTTTGAGATATGGCAAGTTTGATCCCTGCAAAACTACATCATAAAATGCTTACTTTGCCAGCAGTTATGCAATTGATATTCGAATATATTGTGTCAGCATCTGTGACTTGATACGTGACATTTACAACAAATTGTGTTGTTTGCCTAAAGTAACATGTTTTCTCACAGAAAGCATTTTCAATTTCCTTGGAGACCAAGAATAAGAATGATGATCAGCTTACGTCATCAACCTTTATAGCCTTAGTCTATATAAATCAACAATTGATCTTGCATATTTACATGTACTTCCACTTAGTTTTTCTTCAAAGTTCTCTCTAACTTAAAGACTATGGCTCAGATGGTTGGCAGAGATGAGATAGAGTCACTAAGAATTGAGTTGGAAGAGTTTGGAAGAAGCCTTAGGTTATCATTTCAGAGTCGCTCCTCCAGTTTCCGAGGCAATTCAGTATTGAGTTCTGCCAAAGATGACTCTGATGCTCAATATGCTGAGCAGTGGGCAGCTATTGAGAGATTGCCAACATTTGAACGATTGAAATCATCTTTGTTTGATAAGGGTGAGGATGAAAATGAGGCTGACGGTGAAGGAAAGCGAGTGGTTGATGTTACCAAGCTTCGAGCTCTGGAACGACATCTGTTCATAGAGAAGCTCATCAAACACATTGAGAATGACAACCTTCGTCTCTTGCGTAAAATTAGAAATAGGATTGACAGGTAAGTCTTTTCTTCTCCTTTGCCTCATGGTCATATATGTATATGTGTAGGAACATAAATATATAACTACGATAAATTCAAATGGAGTTGATGCTGCACTTGCAGGCACTAATTTTAGTGGTATATGCCATTGATGCCTAGGCAAAGCTTAAATTTCAGACAAGGATGTTGCTATTTATTGGTTTTTACTTACTAAGAAAATGGATGTTGTTCCTAATTTGTTTTCCAATTTTCTGACGCATTGATGCTTCTCTTTCCCTTTTTTCAATGTTTATACTCATATCAGTTCCTCTGTCCAAGCATGTGGTAACTTCTTTGGATTCAAACTTCTTTTAGGGTTGGCGTAGAATTGCCCACTGTCGACGTGAGGTATAAGGATCTCTGTGTGGAAGCAGTGTGTGAGGTGGTTCATGGAAAACCCCTCCCAACTCTATGGAATTCTGTCAAAAGCATGCTTTCTGTAAGTACACATCATCGCCAAGAGTAGTTTTACAACTCAACCATTCACAAAGTCAAACCCATTATTACTGTACAACATTTTATATATAATTTGGATATGAATTTTTTTTTTTTGGCACTTTCAAATATAGCAGCTTATAGGTTATATTATATGTTCAACCAGAATTTATTTAAGATTTCTGTACAGGTTTTAGCCAAGTTTCCTGGTTCAAAGTCTCGTGAGGCCAAGATAAGCATTATTAAAGACTTTAGGGGTACAATAAAGCCAGGAAGGTAGGCTAGCATCCTTCAGTCTACTAAATTTACCTAAGCCAAGTTTGTTATAATGGTTGTTACGTTGGTGGATTTCTCGTCTTGGTGCTAATTGGTTCTGTTGCAGGTTAACTTTACTTCTTGGCCCCCCAGGATGTGGGAAGACCTCCTTTTTAAAGGCGCTATCAGGGAATCTGGACAAATCCCTCAAGGTTTTCTAGTATATCTTTATACTTGAGTATCTTTGTAATGAGTGATGACCCTTTCGAGGACCAAAAACAGCCATTAGTAATGTGGAAGTAGTGCGAAGCTGTGACTTGTGATGCAAATCTTTGTTTTCCTACTTCATAGTTGCTTGTTTTGTCTGATTTTTTCTCTAATAGTGGTCAGGCGAAGTTACCTACAATGGACACAAACTAGGGGAGTTTGTCCCCCAGAAAACTTCAGCTTATATAAGCCAACTCGACGTGCACATTCCTGAGATGACTGTGAGGGAAACACTTGATTTTTCAGCCCGCTGTCAGGGTATTGGAAGCCGAGCTGGTAGGTTTCGTTGAGTTTAAGATAATTGCGGTTTAGTTGTACACAACCTAATGGTGAAGGACGGTGATTTTATGTTTTCTGCCTACAAAGATTTTATGCTGGAAGTGAGTAAAAGGGAGAAGGAGGCAGGAATTATTCCAGATCCAGATGTAGATACCTACATGAAGGTACTTCAAGCTTTACTGATATATTCATTCCATGTTTACTAGATCATGGTATCTTGCAGTTTGTGTTCTTCATCAAGGTTATGCACCCTATTGTTGATTATGACATTGGTCAAACTTATGACAGGCAATTTCTGTTCAAGGACTGAAAAGAACGCTTCAGACAGACTACATATTGAAGGTCATTCTCCTTCAACAGAGTTGAAGTTACTCTTCTTTCCTATAATCCACACAAATGCTTCTCAAAGTGTTACAATATTTGCCATGGTTTTGCAGATCCTTGGACTTGATATATGTGCTGACACTCTGGTTGGAGATGCCATGAGAAGAGGTATCTCTGGTGGACAAAAGAAGAGACTAACAACAGGTAATGCAAATAGAGACACTGATAGTTATAGAAGGTTATGCAATGTGCTCAAATCCATAACATTCACTGGTTTTACTGGTTACTAACTTCCAACATCCACTTTGACCTACCTGGTGTCAATTAAAACTTTGCAGCGGAGATGATCATTGGTCCCACGAAAGCTTTGTTCATGGATGAAATAACAAATGGCTTGGACAGTTCCACTGCATTCCAGATTGTTGCTTGTCTTCAGCAGCTGGTGCATATAACAGATGCTACTTTACTAGTTTCTCTTCTTCAGCCTGCACCGGAGACCTTTGATCTCTTTGATGACCTTATATTAATGTCAGAAGGGAAGATTGTTTATCATGGTCCGCGGGATCATGTCTTGGAATTTTTTGAGGATTGTGGGTTTAAGTGTCCTGAGAGGAAAGGGGTTGCTGATTTCATTCAAGAGGCAAGTGAATTGCAGCTTATGATGCTTTTATTTCCATGCTTTCATTTTTCAAATTAAAGCAACAGTTAACATCTTGGTTCTGCAGGTAATCTCTAAAAAGGATCAATCACACTATTGGTACCATGCGGAACCTCACAACTATATATCCATTGATATGTTCTCAAAAAAATTCAAGGCATCTTCTTTTGGGAAGAAGCTAGATGAAGATCTCATACAGACAGATGATGAGCCCCAAAACCATAAGAATTCTCTTGCCCTTAGTGTGTATTCTCTTTCTAAATGGGAACTCTTTACAGCTTGTGCATCAAGAGAACTTCTTCTAATGAGGAGGAATTCTTTTATCTATGTGTTCAAGACAGTTCAGGTCATCATTTGTGCTTTTGCATTTACAATTCTTAACTCATTGTTTTGGTGGTAAACACTTTTGTCTGTGTCTAAGGACTTGGGGATTCTGAAGCATAAGACATTTTCACTGCAGCTTATCATCATTTCATTTATTACGATGACTGTATTTTTGAGGACTCGAATGGATGTTGATGTTCTGCATGGTAACTACTACATGGGTGCCTTGTTCTTTGCTCTCACCATACTTCTCGTCGATGGAATTCCTGAGATGTCGATGACACTTCAAAGACTGGAAGTTTTCTACAAACAGAGAGACCTGTGTTTCTACCCAGCTTGGGCTTATGCAGTTCCTGCAACACTATTAAAAGTTCCTGTTTCATTTGTGGAAGCCCTGGTTTGGACTTCTCTTACTTATTATGTCATTGGATACAGTCCTGAGGCCCAGAGGTGAGTTCAAGTTAAAGGTTTGCTTTGACCACAAGAAATTTCATATTCTGAGGTTGTGACTCTGAGCCTTCATAATCATCTGTGATTTTGTTTTAGGTTCTTCTGCCAGTTCTTGCTACTTTTTGCCGTTCACTTAACATCACTATCCATGTTTCGCTTCCTGGCCTCATTCTTTCAGACTATGGCTGCCACTATGACAGCTGGTAGTTTTGCAATATTGTTTCTCTTGCTATTTAGTGGATTTGTTATCCAAAAACGTAAGATTATTTCCCTCATTATCCAGTCAATTAAAAAAACAAAGCTGAAAGAATTTTTTGAATTAGTTATGTTGTTGCTTGCAGCTTCCATGCCTGCTTGGTTAGAGTGGGGTTTCTGGGTTTCCCCCCTGACATATGGAGAGATAGGTCTCTCTGTAAATGAGTTTCTTTCTCCTCGATGGCAAAAGGTGAGCATATCATTTCATTGCTATTAGTTCCCCTAATTTGAGGCAACTGAGACCTAGAAAAGATTTGATCTTATTCTATGGCATTTACAAAAATAATAATCATACTACTCAGAGCACATAGATGCTTTTTGCTTTTTATCTGTAGATGCTATCCACAAACACTACTATTGGGAGAGAAGTACTTGGAAGCCGTGGGCTAAACTTTGATGGATATCTCTACTGGATAGCACTTGGTGCCTTATTTGGGTTTTCAATAGTTTTCAGCATCGGATACACCTTGTCATTAAGTTTCTTGAAGTGTAAGCTGATTTTCCTATTATCCTATTTTAAATTCTAGAAGTGGTACTTGAATCGAAACACATTGATTCATCCCATTTTGATTCACACTCAGCTCCGGGATCATCTCGTGGTATCATTTCACATGAAAAGCTCTCCCAAATTCACAGAGCTGATGACTACCTCAGTGATGCCAATGTAGAAGAAAAGTTGGCAAATCATCCTCCTAAAACCACCAATAAAGGTTTCGTAAATTCGTGTTTCTCTTTTTGTTCCTGTTCATTTGTCACATTAATATTCTGCAGCAATTTTACAGTTGCCTTTTTCTTCTCAATTATCAGGCAGGATGGTCTTACCTTTTACTCCCTTGACACTGGTGTTCCAAGATGTGCAATACTATGTTATTCCTTTGGTAACCATCCATATTAAGTGTTCTTTTCCTTAAGGTTCTGGTGGTTGCAGGATCAAAAGCTTTTCACATCACATGATGTTAATCTCCTTCTTTCTTGTATTTGTGTTCCAGGAAACCAGGGAACGTGGATTTAATCAGAAAAAACTCCAGCTTCTGAGTGATGTTACAGGAGCATTTAGGCCTGGTGTTCTTACAGCATTGATGGGTGTCAGTGGAGCTGGGAAAACAACTCTTCTTGATGTTCTGGCAGGCAGAAAGACTAGTGGCTACACTGAAGGAGACATAAAGATTGGTGGGTATCCCAAGGTTCAAGAAACATTTGCTAGGATATTGGGTTACTGTGAGCAGACCGACGTACATTCTCCACAAATCACCGTAGAAGAATCTCTGATCTTTTCTGCTTGGCTGCGTCTGGCGTCTCAGATTGACTCAAAAACAAAAGCTGTAAGACCTATATGTAAAGATATCCAATCAAAGTTTGGCTCTGAATTGATTAGTGAGATACTTTTGTTTAAAGCTGTTGTGGGATTTCTAACAGGAGTTTGTGAATGAAGTCCTTGAGACCATTGAGCTTGATGGGATAAAAGATGCCTTGGTTGGCATACCTGGTGTTAGTGGTCTATCAACTGAGCAGCGTAAGCGGCTTACAATTGCTGTGGAGCTTGTTTCAAACCCCTCCATAATCTTCATGGATGAACCTTCAACTGGTTTGGATGCAAGAGCTGCTGCAATAGTCATGCGAGCAGTGAAGAATGTAGCTAATACAGGAAGAACAATTGTATGCACCATTCACCAACCAAATATCGATATATTTGAGGCATTTGATGAGGTAAAACAAATAGGATGTTTACAGATAAAACTTTGATATTAGAATGCAATTGTCAAACCAAAAAGCTTTTTGTTTGTTAGTAATTTCTCCTTTGAATGTAGCTAATTCTTTTGAAAACCGGAGGACGTATAATCTACTCTGGACCATTGGGCCAGCACTCGAGTAGGGTTATAGAATATTTTCAGGTTAGTCTGCAATAGTTCTGATTTCAGAAGTTCTAGCTGCTTTAAGTAATATAAAGTTTTTCAAAGCTTAGGTTCTTATTCTTTTCAATTATGAATTTTCTTGCAGAGTATTCCTGGTGTTCATAAAATTAGAGATAACTACAATCCAGCAACGTGGATGCTCGAGGTCACTTCTACATCAGCTGAAGCTGAACTTGGTGTTGATTTTTCCCAAATATACAGAAAATCTTCTTTGCATGAGTGAGTACAGTTACCGAAATTAATAGTCCTGGTGTTGAGTAATGTCCAAAAAAAGTTTATTGTTTAAAACATAATGGCAATGCAGAGGAGCCTCTATCACCTATGAGGATCATAAACTAGCATTGGCAGAAGATGTGATCCATCTGCTTGATACCATCTTTCTAGAATAGCAGGAGCATTTAATGGTCTAATTATGACAAGAAGCTGCAATGTGACTCATTTCCTACTATCCCATTTGCAGGAACAATATAGAGCTTGTAAGACAGTTGAGCACCCCACCTCCTGGTTCAAGAGATCTGCATTTTTCTACCCGCTTTTCTCAAAATGGATGGATACAATTCAAATCTTGTCTATGGAAGCAGAACTTGTCTTATTGGAGGAGTCCTCCATACAACTTGATGCGCATCATGCATACGGTTGTATCATCCATAATTTTTGGGGCATTATTTTGGAACCAAGGACAGCATATGTAAGCCCTCATATCATGTAATTTTTGCCACTGGTATAGGAGCTTCACTCATATCTAATTTGAAACCCCTCATATCATGTCATTTTCCTTTTCTGTCTTTCAGAACCAATCAGCAAAACTTATTTAACATACTTGGTTCAATGTACGCCGGCGTCATCTTCTTGGGCATAAATAACTGCTCAACAGTTCTGCAATATGTTGCAACAGAGAGAACTGTTATGTATAGGGAGAAATTTGCAGGGATGTACTCTCCATGGGCTTTTTCACTTGCACAGGTACAATTTTCTTAGAAGTATTTATCCATGACTTTAAACTGACAACAAACTTCAGTTCAATAAACCTCTCAAATTTTGGTAATTTGTTACTTACACTAATCATTGATATCCTCGTAGGTGGCAGTAGAAGTTCCCTATCTATTTATCCAGGCAGTCATATTTCTGATCATCACATATCCCATGATTGGATATTATGGATCAGCATATAAGGTTTTCTGGTACTTCTATGCTGTGTTTTGTTCATTGATGTACCACAACTACATGGGATTGATGCTGGTGTCGTTGACGCCAAACTTCATGATAGCTGCAATTCTATCGTCGGTGTTCTACACGTTATACAATCTGTTTGCTGGTTTTCTGATTCCTAGACCGGTAAGCCTACTCTTTCTCTGCCGAAAGCCAAACCAATGACCCTTGTCAAGATTTTCAGAACAAAGTATTTACATAGTAAGTAACATATAGAAAATTGACTTGGGATCCGTTGTTGTTCTTGCAGCAAATTCCTAAATGGTGGATTTGGTTGTATTACCTGACTCCAACATCTTGGTCACTACACGGTTTGCTTACTTCACAATATGGAGACATAAACAAGGAGGTTATAGTATTTGGGGAAACCAAAACAGTGTCTGACTTCTTAAAGGATTACTTTGGGTTTCACCATGATCAGTTGGCTCTGGTTGCAGTGGTTCTCATTGCTTTTCCCATTGCTTTCGCATCCATTTTTGCGTTCTGCATAGGGCGGTTGAACTTCCAGAGGAGGTGAAACTCCCTCTTACCATAGATGAGGAAAATGTCATATGTACTAGATAGCCATCTGTTTGTATGTAAACCTGTCAGTTGGTAATAATGTTCAAAACTATTATAGCCTCCTACAAGATATGTTTTAAGTTGTAAGTTTGTAATGTTAGATAAATTATGTTTCTCTTTTCCTCTCAGCCATTTGGATGGAATATTTCTAGGCTCTGAGCCAAATTAACGAAGGAACAAGAAATTAAAATTTTAAGAAAACGAGTGGATCAATAATCATAATTTCGTTGTTTACCAAACAAATGTATCAAGACATTGATGTTGCTTTGCAGCTGATGCTTTCTTGCGCACAGCAATCTAATACAGAAATCAGCTTTTTTACATTTTTTCATCCACTAGACTCAAAATTCAATACATCTTCTTTAATGTGATCCAAACATGCCAAATGGAAATATTTGAAAATTAAAAAAAAAGGGAAACACAATGACAAGCAAGCGAACGCGAGACTTCTGACTTCGAAAGCAGATTATTGACCAACTGCAAGCAGAGAGAGAAGCACATATTTTACTCTTGAGGCTTTTCCCACTTCAAGGGCTTCACCACTTCCCATGAAAAGTCAGGATCATCTCTACCAAAGTGTCCATAAGCAGCTGTTTTCAAATACCTGCCCCTCTTGAGATCCAAATTTATGGCAATCATTCCAGGCCTGAAATCAAAGCTCTCCTTTACTATTTTCAGAATCTCCTTGTCCGGAATCTTTCCGGTGCCATAACTGTCAACAAACACTGATAGTGGCTCAGGAACACCGATGGCATATGAGACCTGCACTATGCACCTGCGAGCAAGACCACTGGCAACAATGCTCTTAGCAGCCTGCCTAACAATGTAGGCACCACTCCTGTCTACCTTGGTAGGGTCCTTGCCAGAGAAGGCACCACCACCATGGGCTCCCCAACCACCATAGGTGTCAATGATGATTTTGCGGCCAGTGAGACCTGCATCACCGTGAGGCCCACCGATGACAAACCGACCTGATGGGTTAAGATGGAAAATAGTCTTCTCATCTAAGTACTTCTCAGGAACAACAGGCTTAATGACATGTTCTTTGAGGTCAGTAGCAATTTCGTCATTAGTAACAGTTTCATCATGCTGAGTAGAAATGAGAACAGTGTGGACACGGATCGGAACCATAGCTCCATGGTCATTGTAGTATTCAACAGTGACTTGTGTTTTGCCATCAGGTCTCAACCATGGCAAGGTCCCATTCTTGCGAACTTCGGTGAGACGGGCACCAAGCTTGGTAGCAAGGACATGGCTTAGAGGCATAAGCTCGGTGGTCTCATCAGTGGCATAACCAAACATGTGACCCTGGTCTCCAGCACCAATTTCCTCGGGCCTCTTGGTGAGGTGGCCATGGACACCCTGAGCGATATCAGGGCTCTGTTGCTCAATGTTAACCAAGACCTTGCAGTTGTCAGCATCAAGGCCAACATGATCTGAAACAAATCCAATCGTACGGCAGGTGTCACGTACAATTTTCTCATAGTCCACTTTGGCTTTGGTTGTAATCTCTCCAAAGACCATGACCATGTTGGTCTTGGTGCAAGTCTCACAGGCAACTTTGCTGTCAGGATCTTGCTCAAGGCAGGCATCAAGCACTGCATCAGAAATCTGATCACAGAGCTTATCAGGGTGTCCCTCATTCACAGACTCAGAAGTAAATAGGAAAGTGTCCATTTTTACAAGCTGAAAACGAACCGATATTAGAGTTAGTAAGTACCTCAGCACATAAGTCAGCAGTAGCTAAGTGACATATAGAGATGCAATAGTAAATGAATAATCTTTATTAAAAGTATAGGAAGAGAGTTTTCATAAAATTTTCCTCCAAAGTAACTACACTAAAGAAAAGGTCATCAGACAAGCTTCTATCACACCCATTAAAGAAAAAAAGCTAATAAACTCTATCAGGAAGAGAATCAGTCCTGTTAACCATAAATGATAGAAATTATCACAAATCTGGATTCAGATCTAGAGAGCTGGAAACTACCACTCTTCCAGTTCAAGCGATCATAGCAATAGTAATGTAAGCAAGTAATATTTGTCCACAAAAAGAATAAATGAAAGCAAGTAATTGAGTTTGGTGCAAAACTAGGAAAACCAATTAACTACATCACAAGACTTCCAAGCAAAGAAACAAGAATACAAAGTCAGACAGAGCTATATCACCATCCACTCTCAAATTCTCAACCAATCGCAAAATTAGGTGCCAAAGACATTAACTTTTGACTCATTTCTCTTCTATGAATATATTCAGATCCGTTCACATATCCTCTTTACAAACAAAACAAAGAAGTATAACTTCAGAATAAAATTTCCAAACTGCCAAGTTCAAACCTGAGCACTCAGGAAAATTATACTAGCTTTGCTCATTTCCACTTAAACTTGAAACAGAGACTTCATCACAAACGCATATTGAACACATAACATAAGAGCACCCAACAACAATAAAAAGAAAAACCCAGAAACTCAATCTCAAAGAAAAAAGAACCCAGCTTTGAAAGTTCAAAAACAATTCAGAAAACAGGCAATTCAAGCCGAGTACAAAGCCAAATGAATTGCAGCAAAATTACAAATGAAAAACAAGAAATGCAAAAGTCTTGCATGGAATTTTTTGGCCCTTACTCTAGTGCTTACTTATTAAGCGAATATCTGAGTCCTGAGGCTGAGCTTTGCGTGTTCACAGTGTCTTGGTACCCGAAAGCTGGAATCTTTGCCACACTGACACACAGACTCCGGGGCTTTATTTATAGACGGAGGAGGGTCTGGTGGCTTAAATATACAATGACAAATTGGCAAATTGTCACATTGACAAATATATTACTTATTTTTCATATATACGATTTTCATCTGTGGGAATTGACGGTTAATATTTGTTTTTAGTTCTGACGTATGAGAATGAAGATGGTGGCCGTTGGATGAGGATGGATTGAGGGCTGGGATTGAAGGGAGTCGGTGGACTAAAGCGACAGACCGTCTGATTTGGTTTTGATCCTTTACTGATGGAAGTTTGCATTTGCAGCCTCTTTTTTGTTTTACACCTAATTTAGAGAATTGATTCATTATTTAATACTATATTGTATGTGCATGGGGTTGGTGGGTTATTTGGGGGTTCACCAACTCCGGGATGTGAATTTGAGCGAAAACGCACATTTTGATCATTAAAAATTATGTAAATTCCACGACACTCTTTGCATGTTGTATGATTGCTCATGTTTATTTTGTATCAAATTCAATTGCCAAACAAATTAATAAGAGGCATTTTGCACGTTGGGGGCTTTTATTTTATTTTTATAATCAGGGATTTTCGAATTTGATATTTCTTTCTATATTAGAAAAAGAAATTAATAACACAACATAACATCAACATAATTGAGGACTTGCTTTTAATTTGATTACTAAATGCACAATTAACTGTACCCACGTGATAATCGAATGTACTTTGCTTTTAGCATAGGTGGGTAATTAGGTTTAATATTGTAGCCTTGAAGGTGTGGTAGTTAGGTAAGAAGCAACAAAACACACATATAATAATCACACAAAAAAGGGCATAAAATAATAAACTTAATTACATTTTAAAACTAATAAGATCATGGTCATGGGTAGGGTTGTATCATTATTCACCAAGTATTGGAGTCCACGCGTTGTCTACACATCATGCAAATGCAAATGGTCTCCACCTAACCCCCTCTTTGATTTACACTAAAGGAAGAAGAACAAGAAAAAAGATGGCAACGTTAAGTTGGTTGTTGGGTTATGGTTGGTCTAATTTGATAATTTAATTGTGATTTTTCTCCACTTCTCTTCTTTATTCATTCTTTTCTTTTATTTAATTCGTTCATGCATTTGCTTTCACAATAAAATCAAATACTGGTTTTTATTTTGTCTTTTTTAAGAAGAAAAAAAATATAGTGATTTTGTTGTGTTTCATGCTGCCGCTTCTCTCACATCACATTCTCTCTGTTTCTCAGCTTTGAGTAATACGACACCAAAGACTGCCGTTTGATAACTAAAGTTAAAATACAAAAAGTTAGGTTTTTGCGGTGAGCGTGGATCGAACACGCGACCTTCAGATCTTCAGTCTGACGCTCTCCCAACTGAGCTATCCCCGCATGCTTGACTTTTACAAACATATATTACCATATAAGCCTATAGCTTTATGATTAAACATCGAAGGAAAAACAACATAAAAAAATTATAGATAAAATTCTGTAGATTCACATAGTACAACCCAACCCCCTCCTCTAGCTGTTTTGGTTTTCAGTTCTTATGAAGAAACTTATTTCTTTCACCATTGAAAAAAGGGAAAAACAACATCAATCAAATAAGTCTCACCTAGATTCAGAATATCAATGGCAGGAGGGGGACTATTTCTTCTAGCTATATACTGTTTATGCCAAGACTTGAGAAGTCTGTCTGGGGTTTCCAAATCTTATGATGCCAAAACACTTTGTAATCTTTCATTTTTTTCTGATTGCTTATATTCAACTCAAATTATATGTGCTATGCATTCAAAGTGAAGCCATTAAATGAATCACAATAAAAATCCAGGCAAGTAAAGCCATTCTTGTCTAACTGTTAATCACAATAAGAAACGCTAATCATCAGTCTATTAGGCATACCCAGAAACAAAAAAGATCATGTCTGTTTCAAGGCCACTTCTAAATAACATCTGCTGCCACAACTCCATCAACATCTACAAAAGTATTTGCTAGTGCTGCAGAAAACATACAGACCACATATGAAGCAGACAATAGCACATTCATACAGAAAGAGATACTCCATCTGGTGCCAGCCATCATAATTACAAACTGGTAGTTCTCCACTTGGATTAGACAAATTATCGTTTTATATGATCCCTCATGGTCATCTTCATGAGTCTATGACCACCTCCATTTTGCCAAACTCCATGCATTGGCAACCCTTCTGGTGGATCCTTGTCTCTATCTTTTTTTTCTTCACAATCACCAAGTTCTGAAAGTTCAGTAGCATCATTACCAAGGCGGTTTCTGAGAAACTTTGGAGTCTTTTTCCGTTGCTTATTACCTCCTCCCCCAGTTCCCAAATTTTTATTTGAGCTGCCACCAGTTGACTGAAAACCATTTTGACCCGTCAGCATTTGATTTCCTGGAAGTTCATCCTCAACTGAAATCTTTGATTTTCCTTTGGCAGAATGAATAGCATCCTTCAACAAGACTGCTGCATCTTCTACTGGAGGTTTATGATTTGATTGCAAATTCCTCACAGGGTTGATAGGACAATCTGGCAAAGCATATTTTGAACTGCTAATTCCATTATCTTCACACTTTTCCTTTCCTTTCTTGGAACTTTTGTTCCTTGACTTGCTGCTGCCATTACTCAAATTGATTTCATGAGAACCACTGCTCTTCATATTAAAATTGTAAGTCTCAACAAGCTCTCTTCTCTTGTCAGCATCAGGACAGAGTCTAGCTAGCTCAAGAACCAGATGCGACAGGCCAAACTGGTAGACATAGGCAAGATATTCCTCTGTGTTAATTATATCCTTGCGGTACTCTGCAGATATTTCTTTAAATGCAGAGAATTTGTTCTCATCAGATTCTAAAGCATCACGGATTTTTTCCACAAGAGACTTGTTGACAGTGTGTACATCTCCAACCCTTGGTAATCTCCGACTACTTGCAGGTTCTTTATTTGTCTGAGTAGCAGAAACAGAAGGAAAATCAGAGTTCAAAGAACCACTCTTGATAAGGTTTGGAGGTGAAGAAGAATGGGTGACCTTGCTGGTTCCAGTTGAATTTCTTGAACTAGCAAAATTAGATGATACAAACCCAGTGGTTACAGCTTGTCTAACTGGACCAGTCTTACTGGGGGAAAATACAGGAGAGCTAGATGATGACATGAGCCCAGAGGCCGAAGAGGGTTTTTTCTGGTGAGAACTACTGGCAGATGATTTAGGTTGTCGATTTGTGGTGGACCAAGATCGAGAAGAATTCAGGACTGTTACTTTGTTAAGCCGACGTATGCGAGAAGCCATTGTACTACCACTCAATCCTTCTGAACCATTTCTAAATCGCCTGTCACTTTGAGCCACCGGAAGTGGAGGGAAGGCTGATTCTTGTTGTAGTTCATTCCGGGAGTTTTCTCTTAATTCATGAGAGCATCTTGAAGATGGCTCAGATTCTGCAGTAGCCAATGATTCAAAAGAACCAACAATAGTTTCAAGTTCATTTGTTTCTTGGCGAATAAAAACTTCTTGGGTACTAGAGGATGTATTATGACACCTTTCCACAGTGGCTGTATCAAGGCTAGCTTGAAGGGCCAAGGAAAGTTGATTGTCTGCAGCATCAAAACGAGAACCATGTCCTCTACCATGACGTCCATGAAGTTCTTGCTCATTACTTCTCCTAAGCCGGAAGCTCACTGGTATCTGCTTTTAATAAAGAATAAGCAAGCACACATTTAAATCTATATCATATAAGATCTATGAAAAAATGAGGATACAAGTGGAAAGATGGCTACAAAAAACCTATGATGGAATGGACTCAACAAAGAAAGCAAGGGGGCAAAAAACTAAGAGCGATAACCGCCACATCAACTATATCACATACAAACCTGAAGAGCAATATTACGCCTAGAGCGAGACATGTTCCCTCCATGTTCCTTGGCATTATGCCTCTGCAGATATAAACTCAAGTGAGCATAACCTCAACATAAGATGGCAAGAAAAATCAACTATATGTTTGCCTTGTATTCAAGAACTAGCAACAGAAAAAAGATGGATAAAGACCAAGTTGATATGCACTAAAATATCACCTTTATCTCAGACTCAGTTGCAAAAACAACAAACTTTTTTGTTAGGCAGTCCTCATCCTTGCATAAGAAATGTGCTTGAGAAAAATGATTCTGCAAAATAGGATGTCATGTCAACTGAGAAGCCAATCTCAACGATGAATTAGTACTTGCAAAGGATGAATAATAACCAGTTGGGAACGGAAAATAATTTACCTCCAAGTCATCATACTTATTATAGTATTCATATTGTCCTGGATGCTGCCTGCATTGAAAATGTAGTGGATGTAAGTTTGCTAAAACTTACCTTCGCATAAACAGAACAGGTTACCTTTGCACAAACAGAACAGGTTACCTTTGGCATATATGGCAAGTATAATGGTCGGTAGACATATGCATGTACAGCTCGTTATCTCCATAAAATGGATTTTTACAAAAATCACACATAGGATGTCCATTAAATCCACCTCTTTCAGTCTCACTGCCATCTACCTCTGAATCACCTGTCTCCGTATGCCGATCCAATTGTGCTTTAGTATATAACTTTTGCTCACAGATAAATATCTGTAGTAAAATTTGAAGTCAGAGACATCAGGGTGAAAATACGAAGCATCAGCATCAAGGTTCATGCTTCATGCTTCCAAATGAGAGAAGAATTCGTCAAGATTTCAGAAAAAAAGTGTATAAACCCCTAAAGCATCAATATATAACCAAAAAATGGAAAATATAGCAATGTTTATATGATATCTCATGTCTGTCTTACACAAGAGTGATCACTATTATATCATGTAGTGAGTTATCATACAAGATCTACAGGAAAAATGCCTATCCTCAAAGCCTCAGTGTAACATTCTCTCAGAAGTACAACATTATGAGATACAACAATTATACATCATCATATAGTGTCATCTAAATGTTTCTCACCTTCCTACCCTCCAAACACAGACTGCACATGAACAGCCCATGACGATGGAATAAATGATTTTTCAGCAGCTCAACGTTTTTAAACTCCCCTTTTCTCTTTGACC